CCTGCAGCAGCAGCTACAGCAACAGCAGCGGATGCCACAGCAGCACGAACAGCAACCGCAACAGCCGCAGCTACAGCACCAACAGCTGCAGCAGTTGCCACACCAGCAGCACCAGCAGCAACAGCACCAGCAGCAGCACCAACAGCAGCCGCACCAACAGCAACAGCAGCACCAGCAGCACCAGCAGCAACAGCAGCAGCAGCACCACCAGCAACAGCAACAGCAGCACCAACAGCAACAGCAGCGGCACCAACAGCACCAACAGCAGCAGCACCAACAGCAACAGCAGCAGCACCAACAGCAACAGCAACAGCAGCACCAACAGCAACAGCAGCAGCACCAGTACACTGCGCTCGTACAGCGTTTGGTTGAAGGCAGAGGGAGACTTGCAGGACTGCGTTGCTGCACTGCAGCAACAGATTTTGCAGCGCTAAGGTAGCTGACAACAGAAAGGAAGCGTCAGGTCCCGTCCAGAGAGGTCGCCGCAGGCGGAGTAACGCTGCAACGCCCCTGCTATCCATGAAATCCGAGGAGCTGCCCTCAGGAAAAGAGGCTTCTGCTACGCTTGTTTCAGCCGAAGCGCCTGGGGGAGGATTCGCTGGTGCTGACTGCTGAGTAGACTGCAAGATTTGGAGGCCGCTGGCTACCTGAGCACCTAAGGAAGATACGAATTCGCCGAAGGAGGGGCAGTCTCGCTCGCGCCTTGGGTGTGCCTCTTGTTGGTCCTCCTGGCTCCATCCTGGGGGTTCATTAGGGTGTTTCTCGGAATGAGGTTGCATTTGCTGCTGCAGGAGGGGGGCCTTTAGAGTTCGATGCGGCCCGTGAGAACCTTCTAGCTGCGTTAAGAAGGCCAGATACGCAGCTCCCAGCAGCAGAAGCAAAAGCGACTGGAAAAGACAAGCTCGCGAGGTGCCGATATCAGCAAGCCCTCCGAAGGATCTACTGAGAGGGCCCCCGAGTGCCGTCTCCCCCGACCGCTCGTCTTTGAGGCCCCTACCCAACCCGTCCAACTGCAGCAGTTGCAGTACCACTGACTGCAAAAGGGCCTCCCCGAGGGGGCCTTCCTGCTGCAAGCCTGCACTGGCAGCGGCGGCTGCTGCTGCTGCAGGATCGTGCCCGAACGAGGGAGCACTGCTCCCTCGTTGTTGCTGCAGCGGCTGCAGTGTCTCTCGAGCAGGAGGGTCTGAAACTGCAGCGTCCACTTGAAGGCGGCCCTCTGAAGGAGGCCGCCGTGGCGGATGCATGCAGAGCAGGGAGCAGCAAGACGGGGATGCGAGGAATGCATGCGCTGCCACGTCAGAGAGCAGGCACATGAAGGAAGGAGGCGCAGTCTGGACGCCCCCTGCTGGAGGCGCAGGGAAGGCAGACCCATCTTCTGGAGGGCCCCCCAGCAGCAGGTGAAAGGCCCATAACTGGTGACGCATGTCTGCACCGAGACGCGACAACAAGGCTTCATGAAGTGTGGGGGAGGCACGACAAGGCAAAGGCTTTGCGCTTCTTGCTGCTAGTTCGGGCGCCTCTGCAGACTCTGCTGCCCCTGATGCCGTTCCAGCAGTGAAAGTAGAGTCGTTTCGTGGCGACAACGCCCCCCCAACGGAGCTGCTGCCTTGCTCAGGGTGTTCTTCACTATCTGCCGCTGCTGCTGGCCGCTGACACTTCTCCCTGCCAAGGAGTTGGACTGGGGGCCCCCTTGGGAGAGGGGGTGCTGCATCGGCGCAGGCAAGGTGCTGAGCGCGAGCGCTCGAAGCTTGAAGGGGCCCGTCTGGGGGGCCCTGCACCCCCTCAGGGGCCCTGGGGGAGCTGCTGGCTCCCTGCATAAGGCGCGGAGGGTGCTAGAGAGTGGAGGCAGAGGGCCCCCTCCTACGCAGGAGGGGCCCTCTGCCTCTTGCGTGTCAGTGGACCCAAGGGGCAAAGACCGCGTAGGCGAGTCGCAACTGGTGGAGCCGTGTGCAGGATATGTGGGCAAGTGGCTGGGGAAGACACAGATTTAGGCGATAGCGCTGTCCTTAGAGGGAAGCGACGCAAGAATGCGCACACAATGCAGTGAAAACCTGGTGACCAGAGAATAAAAAGATAAAAGACTGACGCTGAAGAATGGCACATAAAACAATGCAAGATTTACGAGGGATCGTTTGGATCACCGGGGGCCCCCACCATCTAGGGGGGTGGGGGCCCCGGGTGATCCTGGGAGTGAGTTCACAACAGTCTCGCTAACAAGACCATTGCTACGCCTCAAAATACACCTGGCCTTGGAGACAGTGGTGCCCTCGTGGGTCAGAGAAGGTTTCGGTGGAGCCTCCAGTCTGGACACAAGGGCAGCCCAGGGGCCCCTGATCCATCTCAGCGACAAATGCGAGAGTGGATCTCGCTGAAATAAGGGTATCCAGAGAATACCGTAGAGACTCGCTATGTGGTCGAGAAATTCCACCAGACTTCGGTCGACACTAGGGTGCTTGCCACCTTCAATAGCTGCATTCAAGGGTTACTCCAGCCACTGTCTAAAGGAGGCAGCCTCAGTCACTTACCCTGGAGCTTTAGATTTGAGCGTTTCTGTGTTCTACATGCCCGCTAGTAGCTGGAGCTCGATAATTGCTGAGAACTCCCTTCGCAGTAGTACTTGCGCGAAGCTCCGCGCGCAGGAATTCTACAACGCCTAGGCGGCTAACACCTCGATTTTCACGCTTTTTGAATGCATAGCGCGACCGCAGATATCTTGAGTTCGCACCGCTTTCTACCATAGAGAGGCACAGGAGGGGCCTGCATCTTCTCGATTTTGCATCGCTGCGTATCGGCACTAATTGTAACCCCTGCTCCTCCTTTTTGGCCTCTGTCTGTATGTGTATATAAACGTATATGTGTTGCTTCCTTACTATTCTAAAGTACATATTACGAATCGCTATGTACGCATTGTTTCGTAATAATACCAACCGCTTTGCACGAGCTAGGGGGTATTCGTAGGGAGGCGTTGAGTTTACCCTGTATGCATTTCAGCTCCTTATCTTCATGAACTGCTCTACCATTGCGGCCCCGGAAGGCTTACTTCAGAAGAAACAGGCACATACCAGAGCCCGCAGCGACAGCTGAGAAGCGCCTTCAGCCGCACTCCCTGCATGGAGGCAACACCACGAACCTTTCAACCTTACAGGTCCTACTGTGGCTGCGCGCGCTTCTCCCTCATTGGAAGCCGATGCAAGGGGTTTGGCTGGAGGTCAGGACCAACTAGTATAATCCAGCCTTACGAGGAACGGAGCATGGGGCAAAGCAATGCCCTACTGCACCTCATAGAAAGCACGCGGGGGGAGGTAGCAGGGGAGAGCAGTAAACACAGCAAACAAAGAATCAATTGCTCTCCCCCCAACCCCACCCCGGATGCTCGAAAAAAGCCTCAGACAAGTGAAGCAGGGGCCTCTGGAATCAAGTGAGCCCCCACAGCTAGTGGTAAGCGCGATAGGGAGCAACTTTCAAAGATGGACAGCGAAGGATTTTTGCACGGCGAGGCAACCAACATAGCGAATAGGGACCCCAGACAAGGACAAAGCAGGCACACAGTACGTCTCCGAAAAAGAGAGAGGTTGCTTTCTGTGAACATACATAGATATATACATATATATATGTATATATTGAGAGCTGCGGCAGTTTTCTGAAAGCACTTTGCGGAATGGCACGGCCTAATTTAGGTCCAGTCAAGTCTCGTCTCCCTTCAAACCTCCCTCGTACACCACTACCCACAACACATGCTCTTAAGTGTCCAAAAAGAGCGGCGGCGCTGCCTGTCGCCACTACTGCCGCTTCTGCTACTGCCGCTGTTGCTGATGCTGGTTACGACGCGGACTTATTGAATAACTGGATGCGCCTGCGGATGTTGGCGTCAAGCGCCCTCCACTCGTGCTGTTCCGTGGTACAGAACACGATCTTAAGCCCCTGCTGTTGCTGTTGCTGCTGCTGCCGCACCTGCCAGCGATGTGCTGCTGCTGCTGCACAATATGCGGCTGCGTGAGTTGAAAACCCTCCATGGCCGGTGCCCAGCAGAGGTGTCACGAGTGTCTGCAGACCTAAGGAAGCGGCTGCATCGAAGGCCTTCGTGTAGCAGCGTTCCAGCATGTGCAGCCGGGGGGCGCGTTGTCTCCGCGCCTCCTCCCAGGCGTCCTTCTGTGGTTGCTGCTCTTTTGCCCACTGGACGTCGCAGTCTATGAGCTGCAGCAGCTGCTGCAGCTGCTGTTGCTGCGTGAGAGCCGCAGTGGGTTCGACGCAATGCAGCAGAAAGAGGGAGTTGGCTCCGAATCCGGGGGTCACCACAAGGGCCCCCGGCCGCAGCAGCGCCTCGGGGGGAGTGGAGGGCCTCTCTGCTGCATGCATTTCTGCTGCCGCATAGGCAGACGTTGCAGCAGGCGCTTTGCAGGTGGCGTTCAGGGCATGTGCAACGGCTCGCGCTGCCGCTGCTGCTGCCTCGGGTGTTGATACAGCCGACGCTGAAAGAGCGGAGAGCGGGCAGCGCTGCTGGAGATGGGGGGGAAGCAACTCGGCATGCAGCTGCTTCGCCACCGACAGAAAGGCGCTTGCAACAGTCGCTGCTGCGTCTTCGGGTTGCCGCTGATGCTGCAGGCGCTCCATCTGCAGCTGCAGGAAGGCCTCCAGCCAAGGGCCCCCCGCAGAGAACACGGCGCTGGCTCCAGTAAAGGCGCTGCCCTCCCCCAAAACGCGCAAAGACCGACCAATACCAACCACCTTGCCGCACGCTTGCAGCTGAGATAGGGCTGCACACACACGGCAGCGGCAGCAGGCAATACAGACGCTTAGACAGTCGCCGCTGATGGCATGACTGACGCAGAAGCGAACGCGAGCTCAAGTGGTGCCGCAATAAGAAATGACGGATGTAAACACGGACCAACAGACGAGACCCTAGCAGAAGGGCCGCAGTGAAAGCAGCAGTAATAGCACAAGAGCAACAACAAAAGCAGCAATAACTGCAGCAGCAGTGGCAGCAAAAACAGTGACAGGAGTAACAACAAAAGCAGCAATAACTGCAGCAGCAGTGGCAGCAGTAACAGCGACAGGAGCAACAACAAAAGCAGCAATAACTGCAGCAGCAGTGGCAGCAGTAACAGCACAAGAGCAACAACAAAAGCAGCAATAACTGCAGCAGCAGTGGCAGCAAAAACAGCGACAAGAGCAACAACAAAAGCAGCAATAACTGCAGCAGCAGTGGCAGCAAAAACAGTGACAGGAGTAACAACAAAAGCAGCAATAACTGCAGCAGCAGTGGCAGCAAAAACAGCACTAGTAAGTGCAGTAATAGAAGCAACAGCAGACCTCCGAGATGCAGTGCAATACGGTCCAAGATAGGATCCTCTTTCTGCTGATCCTCCTCTTGCCGTTGTGGTTGCTGCTCTTGCTGCTGCGGCAGCAGATGATGCGGGAGGATCGCGCTTGCCATTTGGTGGGCAGAAGGAACTCTAGAGGCCTCCAGGTTGACTGGGGGGTCTACCGGCAGCGCATCCTGCATGCAGCATGCATAGACTGCTGTGGCTTGCATGTGGCACCAGTGAGCTCAAGTGGCGAGATAGACTTCGAGAAAGCACTGGGATGAAAGCTCCGGAAAAACTGCGCTACGAGTCAGGGTGTGGCGTGCAGAATTTGTTTCTCACGGGTTTGGTGAAGGCTTTCACTCGTTGGAATAGCAGGCGTTGCAGTTCTGCAGAGGGGGCCTGCCCCTCCAGTTTTCGTGAGTTGCCCCTTGCCTTGAAATTGGGAAAGCCACTGGTAGGCTTGTTGCGCAGCTGCCGCCACTGCTGGAGCATCTGCCGCTGCAAGAGTGGATGTGCATGTTGTTCTTGCTGGTGGGGGTGCAGCAGCATTCGCTTCAGAGACACCACGGGCTGCTCGCTCCCGGGGAGGCCCCTCCATGAGGCTTCCTCGGGAGAGCGTCTTCTAAGAGCGCTAGTAGCCAGGACGGCAGCAGAAGAAGCACATGCGCGCTGGGGGGCACGTGAGAGAAGTCGGCTTGCAGCAACACAGTACATCCTCGAGTACGGAGGCAACGAAACCAAAGAAGAAACAAGGGGAAAAGCAATCGCACTGTTGTTGCTGTTGTTGCTGTAGCTGCTGTTGCTGTAGCTGCTGTTGCTGCTGGTGCAGCTGCTGATCGTGATACAGGTGCTGCAGACGATGAATCAGCTGCAGCTGCTGATCTTTAACGGAAAGCCTCTGCTGCCCGTCCCGATGAAACTGCTGCGTCAGTCCTTGGGGCCCTTGAAGGTACGAGGCGAGCCCACCGAGAGACTGCTGCCGATGCGGCATGCTGCTGATGCTGCACAGCTGTAGAAGACGTCGGGCTGGCTGGCTAGAGGCCTCTGTCTGCAGCAGTCCTGCTGTGGCTGCTGCTGCTGGATGCGAGGTGCTTGGTCGGGTTGTCGACCTGCCGCTGTGCTTGCAAGCCCCTTTCTAAGCCTCCGCCTGCTCCTTGTCGCTTCCCAATGCGTAAATGCGGCACGCACCCCGAGTGGCCTTCTCCGCGCTCATAGTCTGGGGGCCCTCCGCACTGCGGCTTCCTGTTGCGTCAACCGCAACAAAAGCGCGAGAACATGGACCTCTACTGCTCGAGAGAAAAGGCAGGGAACGCCTAATTCTGCGTAGTTCCTTGGTGAAGGGCCTTCTGGCCATCTACCGGGTTGAATCTCCAATCAGAATCCGAAAAAAACAGCAACAGACATATTCCCGCCACGTGCCCGCCACATGGCATTTCACATGGATTTACTGCATCGAGAAGTGCAGGAAATGCAGAGCGCTGGCTTTGCTGGCCACAGCAGCAACAGCTATTTCTTCTGCCCTCACCGGAAGCCGTCAGGCCGGGCAGGGGGCCCCTTGGGCCCCACCCCGCTCCCTTTGCTTCTCAACCGGCAAAATCTTAGGCCTATGCATATTGACGGTAGATCAGGCAGCTAGTGCCTAGCTTTTAGCACGTTTTCGCCCTCTAGGCTTCCCCAGGAGTTACGCAGCCTACTAGGCCATGCGCAGTGTGTTGGTTGGCTCGCCCATCGGTCTAGACCCTTTTAAGCGCATTTCCGCTACCACCAGGAAAATGGCAGGCGTCAAGGCCCTTATTTAAAGAGGGGCAGTTCGCAACAAAGGCCGATTCGTACTGCTCGCCGAGGATGCATTGGCCCCTAAAAGGGCGTTGGGGTCTTCGATACAGATATCTTCAAGGTGCTATGTGTAGCGGGCGAAGCCATGCTTTGAGACTCTCTGCTACACTAGTCATATCTAATAAAAATAGTAAAGGCCCGACCAGTTGTTTTGCGCGTCCCTACCTATAAAAAAGGCATTGCAGAACGCTGCTAGCCAAAACACAAGGCGGCGAAAGTGTGCGCGCGCCCCCATTGGAAGCAACGTACAACTAGCTATGAATGATCGGAGTACTTAGAGGGAGCTCCTACGTGCACCCTAGCTGCCCGCCCTCCTCGGGCACGTCGAAATTCTGGGAGATGCGGGGCGGAGCTCGATCGAAAAGCAATAGGATTCCAGTATGCTTGCATCGAGCGCGAAGTGAGGTGTCTCACTTAGGAGACCTCAGATTAAGCGTTACAGCCAACAAAAGAGCAGCTAGCTGTGGCTACTACAGCCAGCCACAGCTTACAGACGTGAAGCGGGTGCCCCTGCTCCTCCTGTTTCCCTGTACATCCACAGCCATTTTAAGAGGCACGGCTGTAGGCGCGCTAGTCTCATTAGACGACTGCCAGAAACCAGAAACAGCGAGCTATGTGTTGCGGCTCAGATTCGAAGATGGTGTACAACAGTCCGAGCTCGCGACTGACACTCAAGGATTCTCTACTCCTTACCCTAAGGAACAGCCCGATGCCCTTCCTCCCCTCCATGGGTAGTACGGCGTGCACTGATGATGCGCTTTGCCTACGCTCATAGGCAAACGTGCTGCTACTGGGGAGCTTCCAGAGGGAGTAGCAGCCCACCAGCATATGAAAAGTGCGGACTCAAATGCGAGGGGCCCTTCCTCTCTAGACAAGCCTTGCTGTGAACCTATATGCAAACCCCTACGAGCCTTCAAATTTAACCTTCCTAACTTGGGGAGGCAAGCCCTACGGAATCGCCTACTACATGAGCTGCACAGCAGAGAAAGAGAGACTCTGAAAGGGAGAGGGAACGCCTCTCCTTCGAGATGCGGAGGCCTTTCACGATGCTACCCCTGTGAGAAGACTGGCCACCTGCTGGCAGTTTAAAAGGGCTCTCAAAGCCGCCTGCTGTCTAGTAGGGGGAGGGCACTGCTGCTGAGGGGTCGCTGTCGCTGCTGCTGCTGCTGTGATGGTGGCTTGAGGCGGGGGAGCACAGAGGTGCTGTTTGGAGCTCCCCCCTCCGCTGCTACAGCCTTCCGCTGCTGTTGGGGAGGCCTGTGGTGACCTGTTGATACAGGTGGCATTTCGCTGCTGCTAGTGCTGTCTTTGCTGCTGCTAAGCCCCTTGCGGTTCCGAATTTTATTTACACCTGTGTGAGGCATGGGAGGAGGCTTCGCCGACGCGGTTGAAACACCACCTCCCCGAGGGGGTGCTGTTGTGGGAGTTTGTTGCTGTGCTACTGCCGCTGCTGCTGCTGTTGCTGCCTTACGTGCGGGCTGCCCCTGCTGCTGCAGTCGATGTAGCCTTTGATCCACATGGTTCAGAAAGCTGTTTGCCGCGGTGCGGGCAGCAGGACCAGCAAAGCGCTTACTGAATGCTGCGGCTGCTGCTGCCTTCCGCTGCTGCTGCACAGCCAAGCCAGGCTGGAGCAACACCGAGACATCAGGTGCACTATTCTGCACTGCAGCGTTCTCTGCTTCGGCCTTGTCTTCTGCGCAATTCGTGGTATTGGAGTTGCTGCTAGCGATGCTGCCGTCGCTGTTTCCCGCAGGCGGTCCGCTGAAGACATCGCTTACTTCTTGCTGCAGGCGCTGCCACATCCTCGGCTGCTGGATTTGCTGGGGTTGATCCTGCGATAGCAGTCGCGACGGACTAGCACTCAGGAAGAACTTACACGGAGAGGATCCCCTACTGTTGCAGGTGCTGCTGCTGCTGTTTGCTGCCGTTGCTTCCAAACCTGTGCAAACTTGCGCAAAGACTTCTGTGCTACTGCTGCTGCCTAGCAACTCCAGCAAACTGGCGCTGCTGCTACTGCTAACATCGTCGCTGCAAGCTGCTCCTCCTGCTGCTGCTGCTCCTACTGCCGGCATGGACGGTGCAGTGTGGCCAGAGTTTACACCCGTTGAAGCGTGTTGCTGCGAATTTTGTGCCTGATGCTGAACAGGCGGCTGCTGTTGCTGTCGCTGTTGCTGTCGCTGTTGCTGTTGCTGTTGCTGTTGCTGTTGCTGTTGCTGTTGCTCCAGTGCCCTCACCCCCTCGACTTCCATCTGTTCGGACTGCAAAGGGAACGGCTGCTCTTGTTGCGTGATGGAAGGGTCCTGGTTTGACTGCTGCTTGCATTCCCCTGCATCATCGTCTGAGAGGATGACTGCGACTTCATCACCGCTGCCTTCTGTTGTTGCTGTCGGTGCTGCTCCCGCTGCTTCAGCCTCTGCTACAGGACCCTCGACTCGCTTGAAGGACGGCCTCTGCCGCTTGTTGCTGGTGCCTTTGCTCTCATCGCAGTTGCTGCTACTGTTGCTGTCGATGCAGCTGCGCTTCTTGGGGTGCTGCTGCATGTGAGGCTGCTGCGCCTGGGGAACGCGAGCTGTGTGCTGACTCGGGATAGTAGCGCAGTCAGAAACCGATTTCTGCTGGCCGCAAGCAGGTGATAATACAACGGAAAGTGCCGCTGCTGATGCCACCGTTGCCTCGATGGGCATTGCTGGCATCTCTCGGGTAGGTGATGCTGCATCCCCGGCTGCAGCTGTCGCTGCCGAGCCTGGCTGGGGTTCTGCTTCTTCTCCCGAGACGCTACTGCTGTCTTCAGGATTTAAAAGCATTTCAAGGTCGAGCATCTCCGCAAATTGCTGCACAGGGGCGCTTGCCACTTCTTCCTGTTCCTGCGATGGGGGCTGTTGTGCAACGAACGCGGCAGCCGCAGCTGCACCAGCAGCTGCATCATCAGGGTGTGGTGAGCAGCAAAAGGGAATGTACGCAGCAAAGCGCCAAGTCGGAGCCTGCAGCAACGCGGCATATGCGCAGTCAATCCAATCAGCCGTCACAGGCACGCTTCCGCTTTTGTTGCCCCTCCTGCCGCTGCTGGTGCCGCTGTTGCCGCTGCATGGAGCAGCAAGGACCTTCCTCACAGCATCGAAATAAAACCACACAAAAAAACGGCCACAGAGATCGCGAATCAGCAGCTGCTGCAAAGCGGCTACGTCGATTCCTTTGGCTGCCAAATCCGCAGCAGTAGCGACGACCCCAGAAGTTGCTGTCGCCTCTGCTGAGGCTCCTGTAACCGTGTCAAGTTGCTGCCTTACTGCTTCATTGCACAGACTGCCGCTTTGTTGCTCCTCTTGTTGTTGCCGTTGATACTGGACCAGCGCGTTGGCGTACTCCCAGCAGGCGTGCTTGTATATTCTCTTTCTAACGGGCTTCCACATGCGGTTTGGATTGAGTGGAAGGGCCTTATCCCGCTTCAGCTGTTGAACACAGCACGAAAATGTAGCAGCCACAAGGTCCTGTGGCTGCAGCTTCAGTGCGGCAAAATTCTTGCTGCTGCATGCCAGAGGCAGCAGCAGCTCCGAAGGAGGGGGCGCGCTGCAGCAGGAGCATGGAAGCGATAAAGACAAAAAGGACCATTGAATCAGTTGAGCGTCAGATGGTGCTCCTTCTGCTGCCGTTGTATCACATGCAAGCAAGTGGCGTCCAATTCTGCAGTACTGCTGCTGCCGATCCTGCTCACACGAGCCCATCTGGAATGGAGCTGGCAGTTTAAGTGAAGGAGCCCCTACGACCCCTGAAAGGGGTATGGAAGGCATGCCTACTACGGTATTGGTTGCTGATCTGCGGCCGTTGTTGTTGCTGCAGCAGCTGCGCAGCACCGTGTGTGTGGAGATGAACAGTGCCCATGTATCCCGAGAGACAAAACTGGTGGCACTTGCTGCTGCTGATAAAGGGGGAAAGAGAGCGGACGAGTACACAAAGTGTCGAGGTTTACTTTTGCATGAGCTCCAGCAACAGGGGGTGGTGAGGTCGGTTCTGCAACTGTGGGAAGCTAGAGCGTCAGGCAGTCATAAGACCTTTTAAAAGAGATCTGGATGAGCATCGATTATTGCAGATGGAGCAATTCGATGCCGGAAGGGGTGAAAAGGGTCGCCTAACGGGTGGGCAGTGGTCGGCTACGTGTACGCGGGTCGAACTCCCTACACTAAAACGAGCTGGGGCTGCATGCACTGGCAGGGTTCCTGGGTTAAAGCAGGGATAATGATGTTAATTCGATTCATGGGGTGTCGAGATCCAGAGGAGTTGTGTCCGACGCAGCAGCTTCCGTGTGCGGCGACAGCGTGTGAAGGGTGCGCGGCAGGGCGTGTCCGCAGTGGCGAAATGGCGTTTAATCTTGATTCTATGGGTATTATTTGATACACATTTCAGTTTTTAATTCCGTTTGAAGGGTTGTTTCACACCTTTCTCACCATTCTGCCTGAGTAGCGAGCTGCATTGCCGGCGTACGGCTTGTGCTTGTTTCGTGTCAAAGTAGCGGCTTTCCCTCCTTCACCCTCTAGCGACGTGCACGCGTCAAATTCTGTGCGCCTCCAATAGGAGGAACTGTGGCAGCAAGCAGGGCCTGCAACAGTGGCAGGCTAGTGGCACCATTAGAGGAGAAAGCAGGAAGGGCAGCAGCGGCACATGCGCACACACGCACACCGAGACTTACGATGAATCCGATTGGTGTAATTATACCAGGCAGCCCCTGTTCCTTCCCTCAGCAGTTGGAGGGGGACACCAAGTGGCTTATAGATGTCAAACCTGCTCCCGATGTTATGTGCTTCCTCACCCAAGAAAACCAGCTGCCACCTGAAATGGGCATCGGCATCTACTTCTCCTTGCCTCCCTTCGCCAACTGGGAGGCAAGCAACCAGCACTTTGAGCTGTATTACCTCCATTTCCCCAATCCATATAATCAGCGGGCAGACGGAGACTGTCGTCCCCGTCTGCCCGCTGTGTTTCGTTAGAGCAGATCAATTACCGTGTTGAGGGGTGGGTGGGCACTGTGATCTCTAAGGGACTGGCACGAAACGGCAGCACATGGATGTCGAAGCAGGAGGCCATCCAAAAGAAGTAATGGGTGTACTTTTATTCTGTACATGCACTGGAAATCTGTTGAGGTTGAGGAGGGTTTTTCCTGTGTTGCTTTCTACGATTTCAGTTCATGGGCGTTTTGACAAATAATCATCCAAGTGTTCTTCTCTCTACAGGATGGCAAGTTTACACATCCCTTTGCTTCACTTAAGATCGTGCACAGAGAATAGACCAAACGAAATGCGCTGTGTAGAACAGAGTCGTTTTTCAGCGATCACTGCCTCACCATGCCTATTAAAGGTAGGTGGGGAAGTGTACTTTCCTGCATTCGTGCTTATCATGAAGTGTTTTCATGTTTAACCGCTTCATTTTCTTTTTCTTCCTGCAGGAATTTGCTGCCCGAGGCCCAGCAGGCGGCAGGCGTACGCCTCGGTTTGTAGGCCGCTAGTTCGCCCCCGCACAAGTCCCCTTGCCCTGCAGTGTACTACCTACTAGCAAGACCATAAGCAAGCTGCGGTGCCAACTTCGTGTGTGATGAGCTATTTACTAGCTGGCTGCCAGTGTCCTTTCAACGTTATTGTCTGAAATCCTATTTGCCAGAGACACCTAGAATTCACTGTATCTGGCTGTGGGCAAGTGATCTCTTCAGTCCGGTGCTGCGGCGGAAAACCTGCTTCTTCTCTGCATGGCGATTGCTGTATTTTTACTCAGTCTCTTAGAGTCGGCACAGAGCCTAACGGAGAAACTTGAAACCAAACCAATCGTGGATGCCAAAAAAGAATATGCGAGAAAAGTAGCGCTGAACCTGTACAGGTGAGAAGGAATAAACGGTGGAGTTGTGAGGAACTTCATTTTCGCGCATGCGCTTGTCATTTCTTTGTTTCCCTTCATATGGCTTCCTGCTATTGTTCTGTTCGGCTTCTTTGCTGCTTCTGTCTTCCGATATTTTGTCTCATGGCTTCTTCCTTTTTGCTTTCGCAGGTTTGTGGAGTCGTTTCAAGGTGGTGGCGATCAGACCCTTTTAGATCGCTGGTTTGAACGGTGAGGAAATTCCGTATTTTGCGTTTGAGTCTCGTTTTCATATCAGTATCACTTGGTTGTCCATCCCTATGGCAGTAGCTGGCAACCAGGCCAGTAAAATCATGGCACAGCTTCGTAACGGAAAAGTGGAATCTTTTTTGTTTTCGCCGCAGGTTTGAAGCGAAGTATCGCATCGACCCTAACTTTGTGATGAAAAGCGAATGAGCACACGCCGCGCTAACTAACTTAAAGATTACATCGGTATGGGGGATTTTTGGAAAAGGCGCCTCGCGTTTTCCAGAATGAGCGATGGTTCATGAACCAATAGGTACAAAAAAGACAAACCATCAGGTAGCTCAGTCTCACTAGCAACCCGGAACAACACCACACAAGCTGCCACCGGCATTCGCCATTTTAACCTTTTTTCATAGTGTCTCACTTTGACAGCTTTCTCGAGATTTATCTGAATATTTATTAAGCCCATCTCTTTTCTGACCTGTTTAGCTGCTAGTCTAGACTTCATGTCGTCACCAGAGACCTTCCTTAGTAATGCGCACTGCTGCGAGTTTTATTGGCGTTGTACTATTTCTAGAAAATCAAAATCACCGCTTTCAAATTTAGAACCGCTTAGACTAGCTCCTACCCAGGAGGTGGATCTACGCAACGGATTGCACCGCTTGGGTTTAAAAAAAAACGAAGGAACGTCATGTGACTCGACGAGCAGCAATACCCTCCTTCTCTCCAAACAGCGAATGCCAACTCGCACACGCTTTTTCGGAATAGTACAACCAACATGCAAACAGACCCGGCTGCCGTTCCTGCACTCCGTATGGATGCGGTAATGGCCTCTCCGGTTGTCGCATGGGCTACGGCCGCTGCTCTTGCTGTTGTTGCAGATTGTACTGGTGCTGCCTCCTCATGCGTGCCCCTTCAGCGAGCATCCGCTGCTTGGTTTCTTCTGCAGTAAGTACATCCCCCAGTTGCGCCTGCTGCTTTTCCCTTTCGTTGTTGTAAGCGTGCAGACACAAGACTGCTACCAGGAGCACCCAAAAGGCTGGGGAAAAAAGTGACATATTTTTGTCCGGCACCAATAGATCCCACAGACGCTGCGACTGTGCAGCTTGTTCTGCCAGGCGCTGTCTACGGGCCTCGGCAGCCGCCTCCTCTTCACTAGTTGACGCCGCCTTACTAGGTGGTGCCGCTTTGCATGCAGGTGCTTCTTTCCTTGCTGCTTCCACAGCGCCATGAGAGGCCCCTTGTTGCGGCTCCTCGTTCGAAGGGAAAGGCCTCGCATCTCCTGCTTGCGAGTGGCCCTGAGCAGCAAGTGCTCGTCTTTGTCCACCAAGCATGGTGCAGTGCTTCTGTCCGTGGTATTCCCCCCGCAGTTTCTTGGCGCAGTTGAAGCCTCGTGTCACTCGATGGATCGGAGTGTGAATAGAGGAAACAGAAGCAGCAACAGCGGCAGGAGACACACCACGCCTGTCCCGTAACAGCAGCGCCCACAGCCGTGGGATGGCCGGAAGGGGCCACCGAAGACCCCTGCTTAAGACCATTTGAACTGTACTTCGAGATGCGTATAAAACAGCATTCCCAGTCGCTTTGTTATCATTCGACCCCTAGTGGGCTGTGTCTGCTCATGAGCTGGGCCCTTTGGCGCCACACGAGGCCCCAGCCAGCGGTGGTCCAGTGTCTGTGCCCTCATCCATCCTCTTCAGTGATTGCGTGCATATCCATTCTTTCTTTCAGTCCGTTCCTCCTTTATCAAGGGCGAAGAAGTTTCCCTCCGTTTCTTCTCAGTGTCCCACCGCTTCTGTCGGCTGCGCCCATACGGCATATCTCATCAGCCCGCCACTACCTGCTTAGAGCTCCGAAGTCGGAGATCTAAATCCCCAAAAGCTACAGCGGCTTTATCTGAGCCTCTACTCGTCTACTGTAGCAGCAGCAGAACCCGTGACAATGTCTGTACACCGGCGGTGCCCCTTGTCCGGCATTTGGCTGGGCCTAGATTAGCAGACAAGATTCTGAGTCATTAGGCCAACCCCCCAACTTGCACCCTTATAATATTTCACTTGACACCAGCCGAGCTCTATTTCTTAGCTTCCGCATGCACGTTTCCCTTCTTTCCCTCCCGTCTAGCGCTTCTTTCAGCTGCTGCCTGTCCACTGCCCTCATCATATAGCCTCCTCTTCCTGTAGAATTCTCCCTAAGGGCCCCCCTTCTTGGGATCCCTGACAAATTTCTGCACTACTTTTACTTCATACGGTACGGATGGGAGCCCAGCCGTCCGTCTTCCCTCACTCGACATCTTCTAAAGGACTTCGAGTTTGCGAGGCGCTACATGCGGGACGCTTCCCCCGCATGCGCCAGGAGGGCACCAGGGAGGCCTTTTCCCTGGACAGAGCCTCTCTGCTGCTGCTATTGCAGTCCTTCGACATCCGTAGGCGTGCAGAGAAACTCAGGGAAGCAGAGGAACGGGCACGGAAAAATGCCGAAGCCAGCGATGGTGGACCTACACACCTGACTTCTCCTTATATCTGCACGGCCTGTATCATCCGCCGCTGCGAAGCACAAGTGATGCGGAAGGTAGGGCTCTCTTCTTTCAAAACAATGAGCACCCTTGAAACCTTCAAGGCACCGTGGGCCTCCATTCATCCCTTTTGGTTCTGAGCTTTTAACGGGAGTAAGGGAATTTGAAGAAGTTACTGGTCTTGAACACACCTTATGCGCACTGTGGCGTGCACATGGGTGCACAAGTGTATAGGTATGTCTAGGTTGCTGATAAAGGGAAGTCTTTCAACTTTTGTGCTCTGCCCCAGGATGCAGTCTACTTTTCTCGCGAGTGCGAGTCTCTCGAAGCGGAGCTGAGCCGTATCCTCGATTCGGGAGGTCGCCGGGTTCTTGCCAACTTTATAGCCTTCTCCTCCGCCAAACTATCACCTGGAGAGATGCAGGAGGCCTCTCCATACCCAAGCAAGCCGCCGATTACCGCCAGGGGTCGTTGCAGCAACTGCAGAGCATCCGAAGCGGAGAGAGATGCTGCACATGCCGTACGTTCACGGAAGGGCTCTTCAGAGCAAGGCACGAGTATTCTAAACAATCCATTTCCATAGCTCGCTCTACCCTTCCATCTCACTTTAAATGCGATATCCAGGCGTGGCCAAATGGAAGGCACCCGTCCTTGTTTTCGGTACGGGGGGAACGGCAAGGGAAAGACCAGCGTCGTGCCCTTGCCTCCAATCTGAACGAAATTCTCTCCCCGTTCTTTCCCCATAGACATCTCTGAATAGTTACGTGGCCACCTACGCAGTGTCTCAGAGCGCTCTTTCTTGCGATTCTTTGACTTCCTTTTCACACCATCTGTCTTCTTCCGACTATCGACCGCTTGCATTCCTTTTTTCCGTACCACTTGTGCGTAAAAATATAGGCTCGCTTTTATATGCCCTGCTTGGAATCCGCCTCAGGCGGCTTGCATCTCCTGCTACAAGCTTGAAGGCCTCTGCGCATTCTTGGAGACGCATGCGGAGCGCATCCAGGCGGCAGCCGTAAGGCACACGTCGGAACAAGAGCCCATGAGTTCACAATAGCAGATTGCGAAAAAAGGGCTTGACAGAGGCGGGAGGGAGGCGGACGCTAAGCTCGATTGATAGAAGCAGCGCGTGTAGCAGGACTATGCATGGGCAACAGAAGCAGGGGGGGGGGCAAGAACCCTTCCCCAACAAACAGGGTCGCAGGCAGAAACTGAAGGCTGCGACACAATTGGGCAGAAACCTTGTGTGTGTTGCATTCCCCGATTTCTAACGCTTTCAGCCTCCCCCTTTCTGTTGCAGGCACTATATTCGGCGAATACCAGTCGTTCTGGAGTGTCTGTACACCTCGCACGGAGGCCCCGTGCACCTGCGGCGGCAGGGTCTTCTCAGGGGCCCCAGCAGCGGGCTCTCAGTTTGTGTGGACCCCTTGCCTCTAACGCAGGAAAGCCAAACGAAGGCAGCAGTAACAGCAGCAGGCGAGGCCCCCGGGTGAGAAGGGCAGAGACAGAATCCATGGTTGCTGCCTACTCACGAGAGCCTGCAAAAACCACCGCAGCACCCCCCTTGGTGTCTGCCACACCAACACCCGCAAGGGACCATATCAGCGCGCATCGCCCCTCTCCGGGTCACTCATCTCCTGCCTGTTCGCCTGCTTCGAGTCCACCGCAACCGCTGACGGCAGCTTTATCGCTGCTGACTGCGCCCCTTGCCCAGTGCGGGGCGGTGCGAGGGTGAGTTTTCGAGCCTCATGGGGATGCTGTGTCTGTTATATCGGCCTACTGCCTTTTTATGCATTATCCCCCTTGGCAGTGCTCCGAAGCATGAGCATGTAGAGGCGCAGAAGCATCTTCTATTGGCCCTCGTAATCGGCCTTCTTCGCGGTGTTTCTGCACCTCCAGAATGCAAGAGGGAGTCCAAAGAGGCTCGTTCACAGCGACGGGTATCAATGCGGGTTTTACAGGCTGTTCAGCTCGTTCTTGCGAATTCGTGCATTACATGCTTCATCGTTTAGAGACCTTTCGCATTTGCTGTGCGCAAATTCGCTGTCTCCCCACCTCCTGCTTGTGGTGTTCTGACTGCCGTTTGCTCGTGCAGTAGCCCCTTCTCTTTGTGCTTTTTTGCGTTTGCTTCAGAGGCACGGGCCCAGCCCCTCAAAGAGGCCAGGGCCTACCTGGCACTATGCCTCCGTTCTCGCCGGCTCACGCTGCTGCCAGAGGCTGGACCAGGGGAAATCCCGTGTCTATCAGAGATGCAGTTAGGGCCCCCGCGTCTGCTGCCATCTCGTCTGTTGTTGTCCCTAGGCTTCCCAGCTCTCCATTGAGCCCCAGTCACCCACCGAGCTAGCCACACGCGGATAGCGTGGTATCTACGCACTTCGCTGTGAACCAGGACAGAATGAAAAGGCTGGGTTAGCAGTCTTCGGGCCTCATGGGATAAACGGGTAAAATGCCCACCCATTCCTGGGAGTTTGCTTACGTTTAGGCTCGTCCCCCAACCACCCAGCTCGGTAGCTGCTCTTCAGGTCCTTGAGGTTTTTAACCAGCACGCGGCAGAGAGATATTGCAGGAAAAACAGTGACGCTTAGTGCAGCATAAGGCTGGCTTGGTGCAGCCGCTGTCCCAACTGCGGAGGGGCCGGTAAAGCGCTCTCTCTCTTTCTCTGAAAAGTGCCAGCTTTTAGGCCGTACCAATAATCAAGAGACCCCCGAAGGGGCACCTGTGCGTACACTGCACGCAACTTACTTGCATATTCTCTAAGGAGCCATGTTTGTGCGTTTCAAAAAATCAAACTGTATTACCTAATGTGCTACAGCTTCCGTGAAAATGAACGAGCCAGCATATCTACTCTCATGGAATCTGGCATGAATGCAAGCGTGCATATGTGGCTGTATGCACAGTCAAATCACTCTTCCCAATACGCGTGCGTGAACTACGCCCTTCATTGTATAATGCGTACACGATTCTACAAAGTACACAAGGGTTATGAAGATACGAGCACATACACCTGCGCACTAGGCGTCAAGCTTGAAATAACAGAGCATTGCTGATCTTCCTAGTAAGGCGTCAGTACGGCTACATGCGTGTTTGCTGCGCTCTCGGTGTAAACGAGGAGCTCCACGGTTGCCCTTATGTCTACTTGGAGTCCGGTGAAAGCGAAATCTGTGGGACGTGCAGGGGCACCGACGCACTACAGCAGACGCGGTGTGGTGCACATGTTCACGACCGCTTGCACGCGGCTAACTTCGTGCGAACAGACGGGTGCTCACAGATATGTGTATATTTTTTGATCCAGTACTCGCTTGGCATTCGTTAAAATAGTTGCTTTAGTGTTCCCCTTGCGAAACGCACGCAAACAGTGGCACTGCCCAGCACACGGTGGCACTTGCCGCGACTGCTGGCCCCCTTCCCTGCTGCCACCATCTACCCCGCACGCCTCCGTGGACTTTTACAGGCCTAAGGCCCCTACGGTCCAGGGCGAAGGCGTTTGCGGTTTACGAAGGTACCTCAATGGAGGTGACTCTGAGCCCAATGTGCAGTCTCTCAGTCTCGTCTGTGGCTGCCCTGCGTACGGGCAGGGCAAGCGCACCCTCGAGCCACACGCCACGCTGCAGCGGGAAGCAGATACCAAGGCCTACAGTGCCTCTCCAGTCCCTGAAGAGAGAAGACATCCGGGATGAGACGGTCTTAGCGTCTTTTTGCGTCAGCTGCGTGTGATGCTGGAATACATTGGCTATGCCTCCAACGCTTCCAAACACAAACACCCGCGGATGATAACCGCCAAAGCCCCGCTTGCCGCTGTCGCTGCTGCTGGAGGGGTTGCCTTCGCTGCTGCTGGTGCTGATGGATCCGTAGGTCGCGTGGAAATCGTAGGCTAGACACACCTCGGAGGCAAAAAAGGCATCGCCTCCGAGGTGATCATTGACCGGAGTACAAACTGAGCGGTCTTTGTCTATGACGTAAGCTGAGCAGTGCCCACCCAAAAAAATGACACCCGCAGCAGCACTAAGCGCATGCCGCACCCGGCAGACGCTCCAAGGAGAGCGACACAGGAAAAGCTCAGCGACAGGGCCACACCCCCATAACCCCTCAACGGCAGCAGCAACAGCAGCAGCGAATGCAGCAGCGAATGCAGCCTACCTTGGTCTGCAGGGCCTACTCCACATGGCTTGAAGCCTCTTAGGGCGGAGGAGGCCCCTGCAAAATGAAACTTGTCATCTAGGCAGAGGGGAGGTGCACTTTTGGGGGTTAGAAGGGCGCCAAGCCCGAATCTTCCCGTGAGAATCCACGGAGTTGTGTTGGCGCTGCTGTTGTGCGTCTGGCTGTGGCTTTTGCTGCGGCTACTGGTAAGAGGCACAGCAGCAAAGCCGTGTATCTCGCCTTTGAGGAACCGCGCGTCCCCCCCCGGAAGTGCTGCCTCCGCCGCTGCTTGTAGCCTGTAACCTTTTCTTGGCAGCAGCACGGGTGCAGCATCGGCAGCCGCTGCTGCATCTGGCTTGTCCAGTTCGTCTCGGGTGTATACGTATCTGAAGGAGTGCTTAAAAGACCGCCACGGCAACAGCATGACAGAGGGCGATGCCACCCTCGATGCAGCGCTGATGGGAGAGCTATCGCGAAGACTAAAGGACGCAGTCACCGCATGCGTACCATCTTCTGCCCTCAGTTCTGCCGCAGTTCCCGTGGCCGTAAGAGCCGTTGAGTTGTAGTGCGTCATGTCTTTTCTGCTGCTGAAAAGGCGCACCGTGCCCACGGAGAAGAGGGGGGCCCCCCGCTGTATGAAACCAGGCAACCGCGGGGCAAACAGGGAGGCTGAGAATACGCGGGAGGGCCCCCCCATCGGAGCCGTCGCGGCAGTGAGCGTGAGACTCTTGTTCGTTCCCCCTAATGCCGGTATACTTGCAGACGCTTCAAGCTCCGTCTCCCCCCTTCCGCTGATGTTGACCCCCACGTTGCAGCGCCGCCGCTCCTCCTTCAGATGAAGCGTCACGCACACCTCGCCATCCTTCTGGCCGCAGTGCAGCTCGCTCGCGGTTTTGGAAAAGAGATTCAGCGAATGAAGACGCCGCTGAGTCGACTCCACGGCCAGCAACAAGTCGCGTACAGTTCGCACACCTGAGGGACAGACAGCACGCGCGCAGTCTCGAAGGCACTGGAAAAGCCACACATCCAGAGCCCTCAAACACCCCAAAGGAGGGTTGCCCACAGGCAGCTATTATGCAGCCAGCTAGCCACTCCCTTTGCAGCTCCTCGTACACCTCGGGGAGGGCTACCCTCGCCGTGTCGGCTAAGGAGGGGGACCTCCGCACAAGAGCGTCCTCTGGTACGTCCATGCAAGCACACACGCGTGTGCGGATAAACATTGGCGCCTAGATGCATGCGTTCTACGCAAGCGCGAGGGCAGCTAGAGACACGGCCCCAGAGCAACACACAAGAATAATCCAGGATTCACATATGTTGGCTCATGCGTATACAGGCCAAACAAGCTCAGTGCGTACCCCAAAGGGGCGCCAACCAGAGAGACTCTATTTCGATTCCCGCACAAGGATCATAGCGAAAGCAATTACAGTCGTAGAAAGCCAGCCAGGCTGGCTGTGTGGCTATTGTACGGTCTTCTCCCGCAAAAACTCCCCTCCCTGCGCGCTGCTGTCGATACTGCAAGGACAGTGGAGCTTCTTACCCTGGAAGTCTACCAGCTCGGGGGCGATGGTTTCCGGCTTCACAAAGTGCAGACCCTTCAAGTTCACCGAAATTCCACCCACATGCGAGTCCAGGTTCAATTCGAGCGCGGGCGGCTCGCGCTTTTTATTCCCTTGAGCTCCACCACTTGCGGACGAAGCCATAGGGGGCCGAGAAGGGGAGGCCCCAGAGGAACCCTCTGGATGTCTCATCCTTCACGGGGAACGTTGCAAGACAAACCGCGCGAAGAGGAGTCAGCTAATGGCGGAGAGCAGGAAGGGGTTCAAACGGGACTGAGAGCGGATAAAAAAGAGGGTCAAAGGACGGGTGCAGGCAGTATGTGCACCGACCGTCTTTGTGAGGATGCTGACGTGCCCCTGTGTTGCGCTGGCTCGGTTCATTGATGGTCTGCTGAGGCGGTGTGCATCGTCATCGAGTGTATGGCGGGAGAGGCTCCTGCAGGAGGCCAGGGATGTGCAACAGGCCCAGGAGACCTCGAGGGTCGGGGAGGAGCGCAGTCGTGCTGTTCCTGCAAGAGATCGCTCTGCAGCAAAGGCGAGGGTGCCAGGGGGAGGCAGACGATGACAGGCCAGAAGAGCAGCCTCAGCACCCCTAGAGGGAGCCGGAGAGGGAGAGCGATCCGAAGTGGGGAGCAGATGAGGGGGGCGGCTGCTTGTCCGCCCTCGCTCTCTGCTCAACAAACCACAATAAACGTGTAGTCATAGGATGCGCCAAACACGGAAGGGGAAGAAGAGGTTTGGCGCATGTCTCGGGTAGAGTCCTCCGCATGCAGCCAACCGCCCGGGTAACTGACCCTGAGTTCGCTAGCGATTGAGCTTGCTTGGAGCTGTCCATTCAAAGAAAAATTATGGGTTTCCCTCCTGCTTCATTAAGTCATTTGTCACTGCAGAAGGATGTGCATGCACACACCACCATCGGTGTACTCATGTCCATCCCGGAAATCCACAGCTGACACAGCATTTGTCTTGCTCTGCTTTCCCTGCTTCCCTCCCTTCGTGCCGCATCTGCATATTCCATGCGCCTGCAGTTGCTCGTCATTGGTCTTTTGCTCTATTTAACCCAGGACACACACATATTGCTCGCAGGCCTGATGAAATGTACTGTCTCATTCAAGAGTGCCCCCCAATATGGAATGCACAGCGCACCAACAATTTCGTCTTTGTTGTCTAAAGGCTACCTGGAGCTTGCTTATACCCCAAACGCACGTCCTGCAGGATTGGTAGACAGCCAGTGGCTAGCTGACACTGCGCTCCGCGCACAGGGAACAAGGGCCACGGGGAGGGGGATGTGCTCCCCGACTTCCTTCCTGCTCGAAGTAATTGCTTCTAGGTCCCCAAATATCACCTCGTATATACGGGCATGCGTCTGCTTGTAAGTGGAAAGGCGAAAGCAGGTGCTGCTAAAAGAAATTCTGAGAGCTGAAGACAGTGATGCTTGTGCCTATAGGCTTCTTATCATAGATGTCATCTTGTTGCCTATAGGGCCAGCTTGTGGTGCTCTCAAGAAATAGGTACACTGCCTCCTGTGCGTGAGCATCTGCTAGCATTTCTAGCCAAGGCCTCGTTCTCCATGGGACTGCTTCCCTGTCTTTCCAGCCTCTTTGCTCTGCGTCAACTTCGTCGAGTTTTGCTTCATTTGATTTCTTCAGGCTCCCCCCACCGTAATTACATCACATATCTCATATCTTCAAGGTGCATTCATAATCCTTTGCATTTTTAGCCTCTTGGAGGGCCATGTTGTGTGCGACGGGCTACGGTGCACCAACACTTTTTGCTGCACTAGTTGTATTTACGCAAAAATTAGATCGACCTGAATAAATACTCTGTTAGTTCGCATAAGTTGTGTACTGTAAACTGCTGATAGCTCGATACAAGAAGACGCAATGATCTGTGCATGTGCGCTAGATGTTAGGTGCAGCTATCTACGAATGCCGGCAGTGCTTTGAGGGTGCAACTACGCCCGGATCAGCTGTTTTCTTCCCCTCGTGTTGAAGGTTATAAAAAGTGTGGCCAGAAGAAGGCGGGAAGTTCTTCTGAGGAACAATCACTGATTGCTAAAAGCTCGCATCAAGTCTGGAATTAAGTATTTTCGTACGAAGACCTTAGATAAAGTATTAGATAAGCAATACGGCTCTTTTTAAAGAGCCAAGAACCCATGCAGATGCCCAAAGCCGAGAAGAGCTTCCTTCGCTTGTCTTTGGGAGCTTTCTTAGTTTGAAATGAGAATTTTGGCGTAAACATGCTTCTGAACTAACTAGTCCAAATTCTTGAACATCTACTTACTGAAGTTTGCTGCAGGATACAGGAAAGCTCTGAAACATTTGTCGGTTTAAGAACTAATTTTCCTTGTTAACGGCGAATCCAAGTCTCTGCGCGTCAGTGTCTCAACTGCCTGTTAACTAGCTGCTTGTTCTTACATAGCTTCCCACCTTTCTATGTAATTGACTCTCTTTTCCTGTGTATGGAAAAAATATAGGGCTGTTGGCACACATCTGTGCCTATTTCTGTGTCTTGCTTCCTTTGTTCTTCATTTCTAGAAAGTCTTCTTACCGATCCCTTGCCCTATATGCATTCCGTTTCTCGTACGCAGCCATCTTAGCTCTGTGGAAAGCTTGCCTTCACTTTCTCACTTGAGGGCCTAACTTTCTTCCCCTTACCCATCTTTACATCGGTTTGTCTTTTTGCTTCAATGCTTTGTTTCATATTACGTAGATGCAAACGAAAAACAAATATTTAGTTACATCATCAGTTGTAGCGCCTTAAGGTCTACAATCTTCAAATACTAACGAGGTAGCATATACTATTAGATAAAAAGAGCACTCCCCACAGCCCGTTAGCGTGCAAACACCAAACAGCTTTGCACGAGCGAATAACACATGCCAGTGTGCGTAGCACACCTCGCGCTCCCTTACCTTCTTGCAAGACCTCTTTTCTGAGTAACCTACAGACAGTGACTTTACTTTCTTAGGCCCTAGGGTCCTCTTCTGGTGTATTTCTGCTTTCACGGCTTCTAGGTTTGCTTCTAACCATCCCAGCCCCTCTGTGTTCTCTTTATATATTAGCCGGGGGTATGAACATCCCATCCGCCCTTTTCTCTACTCGTCGCTACTGTCCCCATTTGAGTCTGAGTGAACAGAAGATACTCAGGAGCTCTGAAGGTAGAATTCCGTTGTAACCTAAGGCCTTGCTGCATTCGACCATCGCTGTTTTCTCAAATGCCCAAACGTGCGCCATTTCGCCCAAGTGTCGCGTCTTGTTGTTCTTCCAGCTTCGAAAGCTTCTGCTGGTGCTGCTGCATCCCACGCTCTTCAAATTGCACAGCTTGCCGCTGCCACTGCATTCTCACATCCATGCGCTTGCATCAACAGCAAGCCCATCTTGTTGCGCACCCATGGTCACCTGCAATCCCTCCTCTGCATATTGCTCCATTGCGTTGCGCGCGAGAATTCTTCGCCTGAGGAAAAAGCGACTGACCAAGGATATAAGTACCCCTACTGCCACAATTCGGACTCCAATCAGAAAAAGGGTCTGGTCTTGAGTGGATTCCACAGACTTGGGAACACCATCTACGGTATCCAGCACATGATTGCTGTTGCACTCGCAGGTATACGTGGACATTCCGGCCTTGCAGGATTTCAAGGCAATTTCATCTCCGCAGGGATCCTTCTCACAATAAGCAGAGATGCATTTCTTTTTTCTGTTGTCTGTCACCAGAAGGTAGTGGGTCATGCATTCACACTCGGCACCCTCTGGTCCGTCTATGCAGCTCATGAGCCCCTCTGTACCACACGGCTCATCGGCACATTTGACCCTGTCATCTGTAAGCACACATCGCTTTTGTCCATTCACTGCACCTACTTCATAGCCCGAGCCGCAGACGCACGTGTACTCAAGTGCTTTGTCCGTTCAGCACTGCAGCACCGCATCGGAGGGTCCGCAAGGGTCTCCTTCACATGTGTTTTTATACACACAAGCTAGGCTCTTCGGATCTTAATCGTCCCAGGTGTATCCTAAAGGGCAGTCACAATAGGCGTCCCCATCAGGCCTTCCTTTGCAGGTTCCAGGGGCGCATCTGCTCTTTTCAGGAAGCGAGCATGGGTCTGTATAGCAGACGAAGCCATCCCCCACATAGCCATCTTTACAGCGGTAAAAGACGTCTCCATATGCCTGGATATCGGTATCATTACATACGGTGTTCTATGGACACATATGCTGATGGGTTTTACATGTGCATTTGTCCTATGCCATGGTAGTCCAGCCGCCCCCTCCGCATCGCACCAAGCAGTGAAACCCGTTAGAGTTGCCACAGCACATTCCAGGAGGGCAGTATATAAAGCTCGGTCAGTTCTTATACTGCGCATAATTAAACTTTCCCACAGCGTCCCAACAGGGCAAGTTGAGAGCCCCAAATCGGCACAAATAGTTTCTGTATACGTTGTTCTCCGGAAGCGTCTAGCCTTCGTAGACTGACCAGTCCAGCTGTGGCGTGTCCGTCTCCTCTACGCGCGAAATGCGGGCGGACCTATCTTCAAAAGAGGCTTGGGCTGGCTCTCTCGCTATGCGACCAGTCCAAGTATTCCTACTCGTCGCGCCGCTGCTACTTTGCACAAGTGCAGTAACCGTAGCCTGCGCAAATGATGAGGGGATCTCCTTAACCCCATCGGTGCTGACAGAATGATGGCCGTCAAGTAGTGTAAGACCACTGCTGCTGCTGCTCTCTAATGCGGCCGCCTCGCCTCCCTTTGTGCTTGAAGCCGTTGCTCCTGCTGCCATTTTTCTCCCTTTAGTGGACCCCCATCGACTGCAGACCACAGCAGCACCCATGCAGCCAAGTGCAAGCGCTTCCAGACTGAGCAGATAATGCTTGCTGTCCCTCGCTGCTTCGCCTTGGGGGTCCTTGGCGGTTGTGAACTTAACAGGTGTGATATGTTGCCTGTGGCGAGAGAAGGGTGAGCCACCGAGTAGCTGTCCTACATGCCGCACGATGGAAACTAGGGGAAGTGTGGCTTGCCAATTTATGAGGGTCCAAGGCCTACAAGGGGGGGAGAAGGGAACATCCTGGAAGAGGCCTAGAGGGAAGGGTCACTCTGTGGCGACCCCCGAGGCGTAAGCGACACCACACCGCAACCGATCACTGATTTCACCCCAAACGCAATTTATGTTGCATTTAATGTGAAAGGCTGATGCAGGCACACACCCGTTTTGCAGGCTCTACAGAGGATGAGCTGCTCGCGCCCTGGCTTTCCCTGAATCCTGCTGGCGAGGGCCTTAATTCACCGGTGGTGGCGACTCGAGTAGAAATGCCGATGAAGTCGATTCTTTCAGGCAAAATGTGGACAAAATATCATATATTCCAACAAGGAATTACCGCTTTGAAGTACACGCGCGGCAATACGGCTCGTACGCGGTAACACCCAGCACTGGCCACACAGAACCATTCGGTCCACAGGCCATGTACTCGCCAACTGCATTAAAATCTCCCCTAGGGAACCCCATGCAAAATGCCACAAAGACATGTCTTCAGCGTTGGATTCAAGGCTCTCAAATTCCAGGGAGAAAGTGATCTACGGGCAGTATAGGGCCACCAGAAAGCGAGTCGGTCACACGTGGGAAGAGGGGCACAACGGCTTCGCAAAAGGAAGCATATAGCCTAGGGGAGAGAACTCGTCCATAACACATGCATATGACGGAGCCTTCAGTACAGAAGGCACTACTTTTCGTGGAGGAACTTTTAGGGACTCAAATGTCTTCTGCCCAAATCAGAGGCATCTCACCACGAACAACAGGATGGGAAACGCGGGCTACGATTGCTGCCTTCACGAGGACCAGAGACAAGCTGCTTGAAAGATTGAATTGCAAAAGCAAAAGAAGGCCCACCTATCCATTGTCCCAATTCCCTTGATTGAACACCACATGTTCCAGTGGACTGACGGATCTCCATCCCTCCTCCCGAATGCTAGCAGACTGCATTTATGGCCATGCTGAGAAAGGCATCGAACAAAAAAGTCTCAGCTATTCACCTTCTCTTCGTGTAGACAAAAGCCATGTAGGGGACCGTAGGGAGCACTGAACACCCAATGGCTCAAGAAGCCATTCTCTTGCATAGCCCACTCTCCTCGCTGCCTTCACCAGCGAAAGCAGCGGCACCCGTGCAATCTTGTCTGGCCACTTGCGTAGAAATATGTTGTATTCGCTGCCCGAAGAAGGAGGCCGCATTTTTCCTTAGTAACCTATACTGCAGGGACCACTCGCAAGGGAAGTCTGCAAACGGTTTGGTCAAAAATTGTTGCATACGATCCACTGTCTGTCAGCTACGCAAGCTAATGAAGCGAGGAGTGCCTTCTTTAAGCCCATAACGGACAAGCTAGAATGCATAAAACCTACGCCGTGCACTCTGCCGCTGCTACCACTGGTGCCTCGTGCTCCTGCCACGTGCAGCAGCATATGCAGCTTCCCTCTTTTTCGTACAAGGGTGCACGGCATCTGTCGTCTGTGGGACAAATACATCAGAGTCGTGGGTGAGCTGCACCTAGCAACTTCGTAGTACGCTAGCTGTGTTTATTCAGGAATTCGTAATGAAAGAAGTAATTAGTTTGGCCTCTTGTGTACACCCTATTTACTGCAAGTCAGTATTAGGTTGATCCTTTGGACGCAAAGCTGTGTGCATGCGCGCTAAATGCTATGAGTGACCTGCCGTGAATTTCGGAATGCTGAGAGGGTCCTACACCACGCTCCCAGAGTGTATATCTGCGTTCTCTTATCTAAGAACCTCGCAATATGGGGGCACAGAGATGGCGTAGCTCTTTTGGAAGGACGATTCATGACTTTCGATTAAGCTTGTTTTGGGCTTGCATTTGAAAGTGTCTTCCCATGGAGACCCTTGTGGAGCGTTACAAGGCCAGCTCTCCCTTATCGGCTTGTCGCTTGGTGCATTAGTGCAATCGGGTTTCCACGGCGCCCATTGGGATCGGAATGTTTGTGAAAAGCCCTAGAAGTGTGTGTACATTACTTCTAATGTCTCTTTCGTCTCCCTGAGCTGTCTCATGCATCCACCAGGCTCCAAGGTGACCTCGTTGTGCGTGGCTATTTGTCTAGGGCATGCTGTTGGTGTGTACAGCGGAGAGGGGCACCCCACAGCGGCAATGGGCCCCCAGTATACCCGTAGAAAGGGAGATGATCGCATATGCAGATGACGAATGAAGGGGTTGCCACACACAGGTGATCCTGCGCTGCGGGCATGTGATGTGGGTAATGAGACACCGAATTGTAGCGCCTCCGTTTTGCCAAGGGTCCTCAGCGTTATTGTCGAGCTTTTTGGGTTTGTGCCCTTTGAGAACTTGCCACTCAAGAACCACGGCAACCCACGGCGCTGGTCCCCCCTCCTCTACGCTGCTCGGTACAGCAACCGGCAGGAAAGGTCATTGCCTTCACCGGCAAAAAGACTCTAGGGCAAGGAAGAAGAGTATGCTTTTAAAGAGGAAGAAGGAAGCACCGGCTAAAACCAGGAGTCGGGGGGCATGCACAAGACTAGTGGCTCCTGCTATTGTGCTGATGGCACTGCTGCTGCCGTCGCTGCTGCTGCTGCTGCCCCAGGAAAGAGGACCCAAGCATGGAAGGAGGTTAGGAGGGCCTTTAATCCCTGACTGTTACTCCGCGGTTTTTTTTGACCGTCACACTCTGTGGGGGGATTTTCATACGGAGACATGCGTGTGGTGGGCCCCTAGACAACTCGCATTCCGCATGCGCTGCAGGTGAAGCAGCACGAACAGCAGCATTGCAGCGGCTGGCGCAAAAGCACACTCCCGAATGCACGAAGGACAACCCACAAATATCTCACATCTGTTTTAACCGGCCGATCAGGGCCCCCCCCCGGCCAGGGAGGGGGCCCTCTGTTGCTACTGTAGCTGGCGCTTTCCTGGCCCTCCCCAAATCCTATTGTGATACCTCATTAGCAGCTCTGCCTCAGAGAGCCATGAGTCGCGGGGGCTTTCCCGCAGGTGGTCGTCAGCTGTAACACCGGCAGCAGCAGCAGCTGCCTTCGAAGTGGTAGCGCCAGCCGCTGCTGAGACACCAGCGGCTGTTGATGCAGAAGCGTCAGCTGCTGCAGCCATGGAGCTCCCAGACGTTCCAGCTGAGTTTGACGCGATTGCGGATGATTTCATCTCAGCCCTCGGTGGGTGCCGTGCGGCTCCGTAATAACCCCTCTTCCCTCCCTGCCCGTTTCTGTGTCTGTCCCTTCTGTGGTGTAGCCTCACTGTCACGACGTGCTCCTGTCCCTAACACCTCGAAAAAACGATTCTAGAACACTCAAGATCGGAAGGCGCCTCATGATTTGGAGGCGGCAGCGGGGAGCGGCTGTGTGTGTCTATGTACCTCAGGACCCAATGAAGAGAGGTCTAAAGTGCGAGCCGAGGCCTTTCAGCACCTGAGAGACGCCATCTTCGAGGCTTTCACGGATTTCAGACTTTCCTTGCAGCAGCAACAGCAGCAGCAGCAGCAGCTTGAGGGAAGGCAAGCGCTTCAATTGCAAGAGCAGTATCCAGAAACACGGCAGGAAGGTACAGCTGCAGAACGAAGCGTTCAAGAGGCCCCTTCGCACAATAGGCCTTCCTCCTTGGGGGGTTCTGCTATCATAACGTTACCGCCCGAGGTCCTTAGCCAGCAGCACGAGCTTGCGTCACAGCAGCCGCAACAAAGACGGCAGCAAGTGAAGGGTCAGCATCTCTGTAAGGCCCCTGTGAGCTCTAGCAGGACGCGCCACGACTCCCCATCTTCCTTTTTCTCCGTATCGTCATCTCCTTCCCCAACCGCGGCAGGAGGCGCAAGTGCAGCGGTCCCTGCAGGTGCAGCCACAGAAGCAGCAGCAGCAGCATGCAGGCGCCAGGCAGCTGTCACCTCCACCCACGAGCCTGAGGAGGCTGCAGGGATATCCTCTCCAAGCCCTGGCATAGCGGAAGGCAGCACCAGCGGCAGCGCATGCAGCAGCAGCGTCCGCTGTCTGTCGGATATTTGTGTGGCTGTCCATCGTTATGGTTCCTTCCCTCTTCTCACGTATCTCCCGGACGGGGATTTAGATGTCGGCGTGCTCACGTTTTCCCCCAAAACTGGCGTTGTAGAGAGCGAAGAGGACAGCGAAGCGTTCCTGGTGTATCTTTACCAAAGATTCAGACGGGGAGATCTGAGAGTAGAAGGTGGGGAACCCACCTCAGAGTTTAGTCAGTCGGTGTGCACCCCAGGAGAATCCCAAAGGCCCGCTGGGAGAGGCCTTAGGGGCCCTCGAATCAGAAATGTGCACCTCGTTAAAGCCGACGTGAAGATCATCAAGCTGGAAGTGGATGGTCTCGCTGTAGATCTTTCAGTCAATAAGGTGAGAAAAAGGCATCCTCACTGTAGAAGGAGGGAAGTTAGGAGGAAAGTTAGGAGGATCCGTGTACTTGCGTTTACGCGGGGTCGGGAGGCTGTACATATGCGTTTTTGTGTCCTCTGGGGGGGGAGCCATTGAGGGGCCCTGATTTGGGGGACTATCCTCTCCAGAGAGAAGCGCAATGTGAATAAGTGGACTTTTTTTGTCGATGTTGTAAAGGGCTCGTGACGGTTTGAGTGAGGGAGGAAGAACAGGCTGAGAGGGAAAGGAGGGGTCGCAAAAGGCAAGGCTTTGGCCCCTGTGTTTCGCTTCCCTGAGCAGTTTGCATTTCTACTTGTATAATTTGGTGCTGCTCGCTTATCAGGTGGGGGGCTGCTGCTCCTTGGCGCTGCTGGAGCTGCTTGACCGCCGCATTGGCCGTTGCCATCTTTTCAAGCGCTCAGTCATTCTTGTGAAGGTGAGGAAGTCTTTTGAATCGGGAGGGGTTGCTTGTGCATATGCAGGTAACACGGGGGGATGATATATAGATATATATATGCGTGTGTTTAGTTGGGGGGATAGCACGGGGGATTGGGGAAAGGGTGCCTTCGGGGTGTGAGGCTGGCCAAAGTTGCGTGTTTAGCTGTTTGTGTGTTTTGTGCGAAGGCTTGGATGGCGTACGAGAGTCATCTGCTGGGGAGTCGCTCGGGTTTGCTAGCTTCGTACTGTCTGGAGGTTTTGGTGCTGCACCTGTTTTCGTGCCTCCCTCCGAGCAGTTTGCAGACGCCGCTGCAGGTGTTTCGTGCATTCCTCTCGTATTTTTCGAATTTCGACTGGGCCTCCTTTGCTGCAACCGTTGCGGGGCCTCTCCCTCTGTGGTTGCTGCGTTACGCCAATCGGCAGCAGCAACAGCAGCAGCAGCAGCAGCGGTACGTGGAGCCGCAGCACGAGCTTTTGCATCTTTGTGAGCACAGCAGCGGAAACCCCCAAGACGGCGACCCCCGGCTGGAGCGATTGGCGTTCATTGCCCAACACATGCATCCGGAGGAGGGCGCATCCAGGGATGGCATGACTAATCAAATCTGCAAGGCGATTGCTGACCTTGCGTTTATCGAAGAATGTAGGAGGCGGTACGCGAAAACGGTGAAAGGGCTCGGTTTTGCAGATCGAATAAGAGACCTGCACACAGAGGAAGGCTAATGGATTACAGGGGAAAAGGGAGGGGAAGGCTAAAGGGATTATAGGGAAGGGGAAGAAGGGAGGGGAAGCAAGGAAGAGGCGGGCAGGTCGTGGCAGCCTTGGCGAAGGGTTCGCCTGTCCAAGAGAGCCGGTGCCCTCTTGCCTTGGGAGTTGAGAGAGTGGTAGACAGAGACGAAGGCGGAGGATGCTTGTGGGGTTCCGAAAGGGGCCCATCCAGCAGTGTCTTGGCTCTGTAAAGCTCTTTGTTGGCGAAAAGAGGCTCACCCCATCGAAATTCTCGCGAGCTGTTGCGACGCGTTGTTCTGCTGTCTGTCTCAGGTTTCGCATGTGCTACGGCGGCATGGGGGGGGGGGGCCTGTCACGTTTCTCGGGAGGCCCCCGGAGCAGTTTTGTATGGGCAGACCCTGCAAGCCCCACAGCTGCGTTTGTGAGCAGCAGCGGCAGCAGCGGGCGTGACGTGCCGGCTCCAGCGTCTTCGCCAGCGAGCCGCTGGGCGCAGTCAAGCTCCTGGGCTGGTGGAAGTAATGCTGCTGTGAATCCCCGTAGCCTCCGAGGGAGTCCTCCGATTTTTGGGTGCGGCGGCGTTTTTGTCATGCGGTGCATCAACGTTGTAGACCCGCTGTTGAATTGCAACAATTTGGGGAGAAGTGTTAGCGAGCCCGCATTCGTGCGCCTCACCGATGCTCTGAAGCGCGGCAACGCCACCCTCAAGGCGGTGTTACAGCGAGGAGACCAGGCAGCGTTTCGCTCCGTCTTCTTCAGAAACAGCTACCGCTACCTCCAAAGACTGAGGCGCAAGCAGACGGAGCAGCTGCAGCCCCAGATCAAGCCCCTTGTCCTCCTCAGAATCAGCACAGAAGACGAAGAAGAGCGCCACGCGGGCATGCGTGGAGGTGTGGATGGTGGTGCTACCTGCTCCCCAAGAGACTCATACACGGATTTTCTTACCGTCGTGCACACGCTGAAGGAGGAGGAAGGTGCAGCTTCGGGGAACGTGGAGGGGCCTCTTGGCGCATCAGGAAACCCCCCACTGGTGGACAGAAAAGCCCAAAGAGGGAGCTCCACCGGAGATGGGGACGGATCCGCGAAGGCAGCTGCTAAGGCATTTAAGGAGGGAGAAACGGCCTTCGGCTGTGACTCGGAAGTAGGCGAGTATCCATCTAGGCAGCGGCAGCAGCCGCAGCCGACTCTGCAGCTAGATGAAGAGGAGATGAGAAGTCTGCTAGCCCTCTGCCAGCTCTTATCGAAGCAGGGTTCGAGTGAGGGGCCTCAGGGGGGTCCTGGGGGAAGCAACGCTCAGATCGGGGAGGCACACTACGCATGCTCGGCCCTCAACGCCTACGGGGACCCCCTGTGTGCATGCAAGCACTCTGTCTCTGGCCCTCTACCATCAGCAACAGACGACGCTGGTCAGACGGCGCCTCCCTCTAACAGCAGTGACGCTTCTGGGTGTGGACGCGATGAGGCGAACGGGGGCCTTGTTGGCTCTGGGGGCTTATGGGGTCCGGGGGGTGCCCTGCTGTCTGGCGCTTCGGAGGCAGCAATGCTTCCAATCGAGGCAGCAGCCGCTGCAGAAGCGGCGATTGCCATGCAGTCTCTACTCCCCTTTTGCACTCGGGGCTGCAGGAGAAACAGCAGCGCTGGCAGCTACTCCCTGGATACTCGGACGGCGGGGGGCCCCTCTTCCGTGGGGTCCCCCCGGAGTGCGTGCAGTCTGGGGAGGCTTCCATGGGAAACTCGAGGAGGGAACCAGCGCCTCGGGGTGGAGGGAGGCCCCAGGGGCCCCCGGGGTCCTTTAAATGACCGCTACAGGAGGCCCCACCCGCAATCCGTGGGGAGGCAGCGAGCTGGGGTGTCTCGCAGCACCATGCAGCAGCAAACGCCACAGTTCGTGATGCAGCAGCAGCAACAATCGCAGCTCTACAGCCTTCCTCCAAGCCGAGACCCCTACTGGCAGGGTCCTGGACTCTTCGCCGGGCGGACTTCGTTGCTAGGGCCCCCCATGGAGGGGCCCTCGCCAGCTCCCGGGGGGGGGGGCCCCGTGGAGTCTCGACCTTGGCAGGGGGATGGAAGTGGCTCGCCCTCAGTGGCTTGTTGCGCTGCTGCCGACGATTCTTCGGCAGGGAACCGTAACAGGGGGCGTGTGCAGGGGGGAAGTGCAGGCCCTCCTGGCACCGACACCCAGAGCGCCTACCCCCCAGGCCGCTTTACATCAGCCTTGTCTCACGCTGTGGCTACACTACAGCAGCAGCAGCACCATCAGCAGCAGAGTCAGAGAACGGGGTCCTCCTCTCTGGCTTCGGATGCTGGCGTTTCTCATAATCAAGATACGCAGAGGCCCTCCCGCAGGCCCTCGGGGTGGGGCCCCGGAACCCCACCCACTAGCAGCAGTGGGCAACAGGGCGACTCAAAGAGTTTCTTTAAAGCTTCTAGGCAGCAAGCAGGGGCTGCAGCAACACATGAGGAGCGAAGCAGCAGCAACACCAGCGGGAGCAGCAGCAGCAACAATGCAGAATCCACCCTTTCAGAACGGCAAGCCGCCACATGCGCCGCGTCCAACGCACAGCGGCAGCGCGAGCTGCATGCATCAGCAGCACTGGAGACTTCCTATGCGCGAACGGTGACAGGTGCTAACGCCGCTCCCCGTCACGTACCATACCGGCAGGAGCGACAGGCTTGCATGCCTGGCCCCAGAGAGGGCCCTGAGAGGGGCCCCTCCGGAGCACCCGGTGGAGGCTCTTCATCGGAAGCAGGGGTGGACGGTTCGCCCCCCTACAGAGGCCCGCGCAGGGGTTCTGCTGATTCTGCGTTTGTCACGATAGGCGGCAACGGCAGAAGTCCACAGTATCGAGAAATGCCGCTTTCTCAGAGAGGCTTTCCGCAGTTACCCGAGGCTCGGAGCCCGCAGTGGGGTCATAGAGGTGGTTTTCGGGGGGTTAACAACATGCTCTCGACTGGCTGGCCCCCTCAGCAGAGCCCCCAGGGAGCACCTCTTCCCCGGAGCGTCGCTGTGTCTTCGGCGAGAAGTTTTCGAGCGGTGGACACCGCCAACGCTGGACTGCAAGGTGTGGGTCCCCATGTCTATGCGGTTTCCTCCAAAGCGGGAAGGGGGGGCCCCCGTTACCGCGACGGGGGGGGGCCCTCCTGGCAGGGGGGCGGGGGGGGCAACGCGGGGCGATTCTACTGGAGTACCCCCGAGACACCACACCCGCCTCCGCCTCCTCCCCCGCCTCCTCTAACTGCGCCGCTAGGGGGGTCGGCCTCGGAGACTCAGGAGGAAGGGCCTCCTTCTCGGGAGAGCACTCAGACGCGCAACTGGGCGGCCGTCGTGGGGGCCCCTGCAGCTGCACCATCTTCTCTTCCCAGCGCGGGTGTGCGCCACCCAGGCGGCTTCGCGTCCACGTCAACCGCCTCCGCCGCTGCTGCGGAAGGGGCCCCCCAGGGGTCTGCTGCTGCAGCGAGGGCCTCCTCGCAGGACCCCCCGAGGGAGAGTCTCCCTTTCAAGACTCCCCCAGAGGCTCCTGTCTCAGGACAGGCCGACCGCAAAGAATACAGGAGGCAGCCTCCAGCAGCTGCTGCACAAGCGGCTTCTCTTGGTTCAGCTAGCCGCTGCACGCAACAGGCTAATGGTGGAGGCTCTGAGGGGACTCCTCAGGGCTCTGCGGTGGTCAGGAAGGCAACCCCGCAGTGGGGAGCTTCCTCGTTCGCAGTCGCCACCCCCGAACAGCTCTTCGGCAGAGGAGAAACTTCGAGAGAACGGATCGGAAATAGCCCTGTGGCCTTGCGGGCGAATAATAACGCAGTTCCTATCAACGGCGCCGCCCCGCAACTGCAGGGAGCGGTCTCCAGATTGCGTGGGCCCCCCCACGTGCACGAGCAGCAGAGGCGGCATCATCTCCGGGAGTCGTCTAGTTCAACTCCATCTAGAGACTCGTGGGCAGGAGACTCAACGGGTGTTTGGAGGGTCATACTCCCTCAAGCCACGGCTTCTGCCGTTGGAGGGCCCGCCGACGGGCACTCTGGGGCGGCCTGGGGGCCCCCGACTTCGCCTCGGCCTGAGGGCTGCCATTTTTCGAAACTGAACGAGTTCTCGTCTCTCCCAGGGGATTTGCTTTCATTACGGTCTGCGGACGTCCAGCGCCTTAGTGCAGCAGACAGAGCGAAGGCCCTACAAGCGACGCAGCAGCAGCTCGCGGCGCTACAGGACGCGGTGGAGTGGCAGGTGAGCCTTCTTCAGACGCTGGTGTTTCATCGCTTTAGGAGCACGATGCGTTGACGTAGCGTGGGAGCCTGCTGCGGAAGGAAGGCGCGGGGCCTCCTTAGTGGTAATTATAAGGGGGGCTCCAGATTGATTGACGTCTCGGCAGCCATGTCTGCTGCTGCTGTGAGTATTCTTGGATGCATGTGCTTGGTGATGGGGGCGGGGGCAGCAGTCGTGTAGATCGTGCGTTTTTCGTGGTTGGGCTCAGACGGCCACGAGCAAACGGGAACGAAAGCGAGCGTCTGCGTCGGGAAGGGACGCCGAATCCAAATTGGCGCAGTTGTTGGCGGTGCAGCAAGTAAGCTGTACTAAACTTGCGACCCCCTTGTCTTTCCTTCCCCCCTTTGCTCTTTTGCCATGTCCTTGATGGTGCCCTCTTGCAGCTCCTGGAATAGCGATGAAAACCATTTTTTGGCTAGCGGTCATATGGCTCGATGCCGCTGCTGATATGTTGTGACATGGTGCAGTTACTACAGCACCAGCCGCAAGTGCAGCCTGCTTCCTCACAACTGCATGAAGGGTCTTTAATCAATGGCGTAGGGACCTCCCGAGAGCCCCAAGGTCGGAGCAGCTGCAGAGAGGCAGACGCAGGTGTCCCAGCTGCTGCATTACCTGCAGCGAAGAAAGCATCTGATGACTCGCGACAAAGGAGTGGCACTGGCGGGTGTTCTTAACGGGGAGGCGGCCGGTGAGGCGAAGCGCACTGCTCAGTAGATGTTCTTACACCATCATCCGCGAAAGGGCGACGCGGCAGGAACGGCTTGCCAGCTATTGTCCTTTCTCTGTTGCCGCTGCTGAGGTTGGTGCTGCTGCACCTACGACCTTGGCTGTAAGCGGTTGTTCGGCGAGTTTTGTAGGAGACTTTTTTCGAGGGAGAAGCACCGCATCTGTCTCATTGTTATTAGCAACCTGTTGTTCATGCATATATTATACACCAACACTATTCATACTCGGAAAAATTGTACTGTCTAAATGCCTTGCAACAACGCAATAAACTTTTCAAACTTAGCTGAGTGGGCACCTCCTGATAACTTTTCGGACAAAGGGTCTTGTGGCTCTACTAGGTGGAATATTTAAATGCCAGCACTCCAAAGTCCTGAACCCCAAATGCCGAAGTGCAAAGTCAGACGCGTAGCTTGTAGCTTTCTCTCGCCGTCAAGGATTCATCTGGTGCAGCAACTGCTGTGTTATGGCTTTCCGTTCTCCGAGTAGACTGTAAGGCCTGAGAAACAGCCTTTCCTGTAGTTGACGAGGCAGGATTTTACTCTTCGAATGATAAATCTGGACCACACATTGTAAGAGTGATGAAATTGTCTAGGCCTCGATCTTTGTTTCGGGCTGTCCATTTGGCGCACCTAGCGGTGAAGGATATGCTGCCCGCCTACAGTTGTACGTGATTCCGTGTCCTAAGTGGGCTGAACAAAAGATCTTGTCTGTTCCCTCATCGGCAAAACACAGCCCGCATCGCCCGTGATTGAGATTGAGCGTGTAATTCACATTCTGCTGACTGAAAGAGATGATGTACACATTTTTGCCTCCACATCAATGAACATATGTCATGGTCTTTCTAAAAGGATGTTTGTTGTCATCCATACCATCAAAGTATTAGTACATGTCAAACTAGAGGCAGCTAGTTTAGCGCGTAATATAGTATTCGAGAGTGCGTGTGCTGACGAGACTCTCGTGTACAATACCCACAAAAATAAAGCACTAACAAATTGCTAAATTCGCTGTTCAGTGCAACTGTAGAAATGCGGAGTGTCGCTCTGAACACATGCTTAAAAGCGTCGATCCCAAGGTTTAGTCCCTTAGGAGGTGTCATTTTTCGAGGAGCTTTTTACACTTAGTAAAGTGGCACGTATTACATAGGGAACTGCTGCATCAGTAGAAGAAATGCCTAGCAATACAACAGATATATGAGAAATACTTTTCTTCGAACGTAAGGACTAAATCAGCACAAGCCGACACTCACAATTCCTTCCTGGAAGCGCGAATTCAGCAACAACTTTTGTCATTCACAGTGTCGCAAAAATCGCCTTGACTAATACGGTGGGACCTAGCTTGAAATGGACTGAATACGAAATGCAATAAACAGTATCGAAGAGTATATAATATTGGTTTCGCGCCAAAGTCGCAGTGGGACACTTGGAGCAGAGCTACACATTTTTCAATGTTCTTATCAAAAAAAGGAACAAGTTAATGGGCTTAATAAATGGGGAGTTACAGGCTGCATAAAAAGCTCTGAAAGAATAGGAAATAAAGTCTGTGTCTTCCGATTCAGTTTGCCTTTATGTTGTTCTATCGTCAGCGCTTTCGTGCAGCCGTAGGGACCGCACGCTCAATGTCCAAATCCAAAGAACGCACAAAGGGCAACTTCCATGGTCAAACTACAACTTTATGGACATTTCCCACACATAGCTTAAAACAAGCTCATGCGCATTTAAAGAGAACTTGCGTCTTAGCAGTGCAGAGAGGCTCAAGCGGTAAACAAGCAGAAAAACTACAATCGCTCGGCATCATTTTGGATGCATTTAGTCTAGTCAATGATACTCATGTGCAACTTGTAGCCCCAACTGCAGTTTTGAAAAAATCAAAGCCCCTTTAAGATTACGTTTTCTAGGTCATTTGCCTGAACAGGGGACTGAAGAAGTCAAGAATCCGAAATACAAATATTATGCGCAAGCTCTATGAATGGGAAGCAAATGCATTAACTATTGAGTGAAATCGGCACTGCTGGATGCACGTGGATGGGGAAACAAGGCTGCGCTTTTTTGTGATGGAATATCGAGTGCTCCCCTACGGTATAGCTACAATTTTCTAGAAAACTATGTCTATTCGTGCACTAAACAGGTCTTGAAGAAAAATTGCGTACGCTCCCTCAGGGCTGCTACTTCTAATCACTCTAAAGCGCCATGTACGCACTTTTGCATGTCCGAGAACACACCACTTCCTGCAGGTCACGAAACAACGGTGTGGATACCCAATACCGTAGGTGGACTGCGCTAAAAAACAATGTGGGTATATTTTGATTTAGTCCTAGAAATATCACTCTCTTGGAGCTCGGCAGCTATAGTGCTGCGAATGCAACGCACCAGTGTGGGTATCAGCATATATATATGTGCATACATATGTACATATGCACACCCTGCCTGCCTGTATAATTTTTGAAGACAGAACACGCTAAGGTGGAAATATCGCTTTTCGTAGCATTCCGCTGCACGGAGAGTCCACGAAGCGATGCAGGGGGGCGCACAAGTTGCAGTTTTCCCTACCGGGGTTGCGGCTCAGTAAAAAGGAAGTCCATTGATCTCAGGTGGACAGGCAAAAACCAAAGTTGGTGCTAGGCCAACAGAACTCAGCCTCTGGCAAAAAAAGCCAACAATCAACAAGCTTCCCCCCCTCAACAACCTGACACAGCCTTTTACTATAGAGTCGTGCCTCACATGCATGTAGACCAATCATGCACAAAATACAGACGAGCTACGTTTTTCCTGGTCGTTATTAGTATGACCTTAGAATGCTAGTGCAACATACAATCCTACACCAATGGCCACCGCAAGAGTAATTGTAGAAAGGGAGCCCATGCGTGCCTTTTCAGAGAAGCGCGTAACGGAGAGAGAGGAATGAATGAGCGCAAGTGTCGCAATCCAGCCCAGAGTGAACGCCAGTAAGAACTGCATGATCATCAACCACACAAAATTGTTTATCACAGCCACGTTCTCCATCTTCATGGCCAGGACGAAGGGAACGTAGAAAAGGAAGCGAAGAAATGACGCGATAATTGTAGCTCGGCGGGGGAGGAAGACGAAGCTGAACATCGAGTGCAGCCCCGGTAACTTGACACAGGAACGCCCGAGGAGGTCGCCAACGAATTGCATTCCAAACAGAAGTACCATATTTGATGGCTCCTTTCCTTCAAAGTTGAACGAATTTGGACCCACTTTTGGGAAGAGTGAGAAAGAAACGAAGAAGACGAGGAACACACTGGTAAGCTCCCAGAAAGAATGCTTTATAATGGTTCCCCAAGGACGAGGAGGCAGCAGCGTCTCATCCAAAGAACCTGCCTTGCTCTGATTGTTCCCTGCGTCTTCTAAATCTCCAACACTTGTAAGTTCATGGCCTGGTTGCATCTTCTCGTCGGTCCAACTGCCTCGCGCGTTTTGGACCGACTGAACGCATACCGGTGCGTTCAGGAAGACGTGCATGAAAAGCACAGAAACGATATACATAGCCACAGCGAGTATGCAAATAATTGTGATAAGGTACTTGGCGTCACTTTCTCCGTCTATGGTGATGCGATTGAAGAGAATGCCCGTGACAATGAACACGAATACACCGGCCGTTGCTTGGCCTATTGACGTTGTATCGACATAGTTCCGGGGGAGAATGGCGGCCCTGGCGAAACCAGAAGCCTGTAGAAAGGCGTTACAGACACCGAGGAAAAAGAGAATAATGTGCAGCAAAGTGACTCGGGAGGTGACGCTCCCGTAGAAGAGGCAAGGCGCGACAGCCGCCATGCATATGAGGGAGATCATGAGGCCCGCCTGAATCAGCCACTTGTGAAGCGAGCCAATCTTAAGGATAAAAAAGAGGCCCAGGACGCAACCAGCCTGGTACAGACCCAACACTGAGTTTTCCACCTCCTGCTCGTCAAGGAAGTATTTAGACGAGATTGGCAATATCACGACCAAAAACTGGAAAGGAATAAGAGTCATCATACCGGACAGGCCGCACCCAGCACTAACGAGCAAGTGTTCATATAATGTCATTTTCGGCTCTGCCTTCGAGGTGGAAGGACTTGGAGTCGAGACTTCTGTGGGGCCTTCCCCGACGCAGTTGCTATTGGGTCCCATCATTTGCCCCATAGCAGTGAATTGTCCGAGAGATAAACTCATAAAACGGTCAGAAAAAAAACTGATAGGTGGACGAGAAAAGAAATGATGGCAAGAATTGAAGGGCTCCCGACCAACAGAGCCCGCAGGTGCGGAGAGAATTTGTTGGGGGCCACACAAGGTGATCACTTCCGTGCGCAACCGCACTCCGTGGGAAGGCACTTCTGAAAATTTAGGCAGCTTATGCAAAACTTTACGGGAACTTAAAATATCTGTGTGATCTGCCAGTAGAAGTGGTTTTCCGTGCAGTGTATGAAACCCGGCTGAGAACCAACGTAACCATTCTCCGAGAGTCTGCATTTGTAGTCCCGTCCCGTCAACGGACATATATTCCTTACTTTCCAAAAACATTCAATCTCCTTGCCAGAGTGTTTTTCACTTTTCTTGCTTTGAACTGACTAGGTCGGCGTATGCGGAAAGACAAACTGTAACGCTTTCCGATTATCTCAAAACGAGACTGGTCACGCCCCACAGGAGGTCTTTGTGGGACGACACTCAACTCCGGACTCAGAGTACGCTTTATTAATAGTGAATGATTATTTTCGAAGCATGCTCCATAGTTACCCTTCCCAGCCTTCCCCCCACTGCCCCCCTCCCTCCCTGTGAGCCCGCTTCTCAGGACTCCCGAATTTACGAAAGGAGGACCTGCACGAGTACGAGTACCTGCAGGCTCTCAAAGCAACAAACATCCAAAGGTAGTTCAATATAACATCCTAGCGAACCCACGCACAACGTCAGGTTTTATAACATCCAGCTTGCACTACTCTCAATCAAGTGGAAAGGCCAACCGACAACCCACCTGATCAGTCCTCGACTCAGTTTTAGTCCTATACTAGCAGTGAAGTAGAAAGTGCATAAATGTGGCCTATTTCGCCCAAGCTTTTCTTCTCAAAACCAATTAACAAGCCTTTTAATCTCGTAGCGTGCTTGACAGCCAAATGCTTGCACAGCTGTGTGACATATGCAGGCTGACACGTGAAACAATGCAATAGAGAAAATCAAGCGCAAGTGGCAGCTGCTAACGTAAAATTGAAGGGACGAAAGGCACGCACTGTAGTGAGCAACGAACGAAGGACCAAATCAATACGAGTGCGAGGGCGCAATGCCTAAGTGTCGCTGAAGCGGTAGTATTTGTAAGCCCCGTGCTACGGGGAAAGAAAAGACGGGTAAAACCTGAATGAGCGGCCACAAGCCTCACTAGTTCAGCAGTCTTCACCCCTTAAAAAGCCATGTATGCATGCAAAAACAGCTTGTGCGTGCAGCACAATCCACTCGTAGGCCCTGGAAGAGGCATGAGAAAGGATGCAGAGACAATATACCTGAGACCGAATTAGGTCGCGTGTAGAGAACACCCTAGCAATAACAGCCGGGGACTTTTGGAGCACAAATTATATGTAAAGATACCTATTCTAGGCAGATCATGCGCTAGGGAAGGAAATCACACCAGGATTACTGCCCATGGGGACTAGCGTTGTTGAACATATGAAGCTGCAAAACTTCCACAGGTACCAAAGCCCCAAAGCTGCCGCTCCGTTTTTGCCGGCTGAGTTGCATTTAGGTATCTTCTCCTATAATTTTGTTTTATTAGGAACCAGAGCGAACTGACTGATTAGCTGATCGGCTCATGTATCTCATGTATTGTAGAGTATTGTGAGCTTGCTAGTAAAGACTCAACGTTGTGTGCGTTTGTGATCAAAGTCATATGCAGCTAGCTGAATATGCTGGAAATGCGTAAAGGCTTTAGGTAAGCGCATTCGAGCCCTTTCCACTGCGATAAGAACCCTAAGGGGCCCTTGAAGGGCAAGGATAAGAGCTCTTCTGAGGAACACGTGTCAAATCTCAATTAAGCTTTCATTGAGTCAAAACTCAAGTGTCGTTCTAAACGGAACTTAGATGGAGCGCTAGAGTTGGCAGGACGGGATGGTGTGATACATATGTCCTCTGCTCATCCACTGGCTGTGGATGCAGTGGGATGCCAGGCTTCATCAAACAGCCATATGGTTCCAAGCAAGTTTCTTAAAGTTGATTAACATATCATGTGGCAACAGACTACGAGAAAGCACCACTGTCAATGAAGGTTGGCGGCGTCACTAAGCCTTCTGGGGAGGTACAACCCGGCTCTGCAAGCTGCTGTCAGCGCAGTAGTCCCCCAGTTAGTAGAAAGGCATGATTGCCTGCCCACAGCTAGGGGATTAGGACGATGGGAACGTGCCTGGCTGCCCATGACTACCTAGGATATATTAGCCGTTGAATCTTAAGCATGCTCTACTCGATATACGGGACGCATCAAGAATTCTATTTAAAATTGCTAACCACCGAAATTTTTAAGGTCGAAAGATTACAAAGAGCCTCGTAGTGTCTGCTCAGACCTGTCAATAGCCAGAAACCCAACCTTGCAACATTCCAGTAGCACCAAATACTGTTCGTTGTTGAGCACAGCACGAACACTTTACGACAACTCGCTTTCTATCTATTTGAATTTGGTAGTTTCCGGCCACATTTAAGGCCCATCGTGAAAACATCCAAAGCTTGATGTCTCAATATTTTAGTCAGCAACCGATGATGCAGCAGATCTATTAAACAGAACATAACATACAATTCGTCTTATGTAAGCTGGCAGCTTCTTCATTCCCTCGTAGCGTAGCGCTGTACAGCATTATCTAACAGCCATACAAGGCCCCCCTTGCTATAGTTGTAGAAGCGAGAGGACAAAAAGGCGCTGCAAATTGCATAGCTTGCAGACACGCCGTGGCTGTAGAGAATAATTCACCACAGGGCTTCAGGCTCAGCAACAGACTACTAACAAGAGCCAGTTTGAAAGAGAGCGGTTTATGGTGGTTTGTGTCTATCAACCATCTGTCTTTCCAACTGAAGTGTGTGGCACCTGCGGCACATGGGCAGACGGGGCGCTCCAATCGCACACTTCTGCAGAGAATACATGGTTTTTCTCACATTAATCCAATTGCTTGGCTTTACCAGATATCTTTAGCTCAGTGGCTTGACACGGGGAATAGTACACTTGTCTACTTGTAGCTCTCCGCCATACCTGGTCTATACCGTGGTTCCCCTCCGCGTTCTGGGCCTGGACCTGGTGTTGCAAGACCCGCAGACACCTTGTACAGTAGAGCAACTAATACAACGGCTCGTCAGTGGGTATACTCAAAGCTCTAGCAAGACAATAGAAGAATTACAATAGCGGGGGATGAGCTGTGTATACAATGAGGCAAGCAGACGAAGGCACGTGCGGTTAGGTGGCTAGGACATGAATGTGTGCTACAGGTAGGGGTGAACCTACCTTTGAGGGTTTTTGCAATCTTCCGGTGCCCGATAATTTATCAAGTAGTGCTTGTTGGTGTATTGGATCACAGGTGGCGTGCATAAAGAGAATGAATGAACAAGATATTCGCTCTTAGAGCAGAAGATAGCAGCTCCTAAAAATAGGGGATATCGGGATCCAGAGCAGCCCCTATTGTAGTAAACTACACCGTGCTCCACGTCTTATGAGGCTGTTGTACTTTGCTGGTATGCAGACCACATTAAATGGTAGTCTATACCATAAGCTTAAACAGCTCTGTCTTGCTGAGCTGGTCATCTTACAGAGGACTGTTTGGAAGATGGAGTCGTACTTCGCAGCAGGACGCTTGCTGTGTAGTATAGGCGGCATGCTATGGCCAGCTCGTGGCATGCCTGGATAGACTAGGGGTAGACATGTGAAGAGTTATGCAGGTGATTCTAGGCTCAAGAGGTCGACTACGCGAGCTATTTCCTAGCATGCCTGCGCTTTCAGACACTTTTGAAAGTCTGCTGCAGTGGAGCAGTGGAGTTGGTGGAGTCTGTACACCCACAGGACCGAGGAGCTGCGTGAGCACCGTGTACACAGGCACTATGAAATATTAATGGCTTAATGAAGGATACTGGGTTTGCCGCAGGAGGATGTGTATATAGGGGAGTACAGGTGTCGTGTCCCTGGGTCGCCCCATTCACATCGCTCACCCAATACACACCATGCAGAGTTTTTGTGCTTATTGTTGAGACATTTATACTTTTGTATTGATTCCCAGTAGCTCGACCTTGCAAGCTGCTTTTACATTCAATTTTACGTATTTCTCGTTTCCCTGTCAGCCGTGCTGCAGGAAACCACATCATAACCTCTAGTGGGCAAGGTTTTGTGCCTGACTGATCTCTTCGAGGCCCTAAGAGGTCGAAGTCCAGCCACACTATGACCAGAGATACACGCCAAACAGCTGCCCTGCTACTTTTGGAGCCTCTCACTGAAGACCCGGGCCACCAACGACAACCCGTTTTGCCACGTAGCATACTGATAAGTTTTGAAGCTGTCCTGAGCCTCATCAATACTATAGGGTAGAAACGTACTTTAGTCCAGGCTAAGCACACCCTTGCGGAGATCTTAAGCCCAATGCCCAGTCTACATCAGCCCCCTAAGAGCCCTTGCAAATATGTATTTCTTGGGGGAGTAAAGGCCTTTCCTCTGTTGAGGACCAACATGAATTTCCCACAAAACGTTCTAGAAATTATTCTTAGCCCCCCCATTCCCGTGCCGACATTACAAGCCTCACCACGGTTGCAACTCAAATTTCAGCAAAACTGTATTGAACCAGTCAAATGGTTTAACGCAATGGCTAACTTCAGTGCAAAAGCCGCACTTGAAGACTGGAGTACACCATCGGCAAAGGAGATGGTGCTCACAAATTGTGTTGGACCTTTGATGCAGCATTTCGCTCACTGTTCCAGTGGACTTCAGTACAGCTACGCCCACTAGTCGAGCAGGAAGGTACGATTGTGTTGCTTGTTGATATTTTAGGCCTGTCTATAGCTATGTGTAATCGAATTTCGAAGTTAACAATTGAAATAATATCAAATATAGAGAGACCTAGAATTTTGCTTCTCTCCAGAGTTATTCTAGTAGCACAAACACCTTTCCGGCATCTGGTCGAAAGACCACCGCGCATATGCAATTGATATTCGAAGGGTTTGACCCCTGTTGGATTATGGGTGCACACAGCAATTACTATTCATGGCTATGTTGCTGTGACTGAGCTTTTAATTGTGGTTTACTTCAGTTTGCACCACTTTTGCGAATCAACAATTCGTTTAGAATGGATAGTATGATTTGGCTGTTCGTGCTTCCTATAGCTTGCAGTATGATGGTGCTTACATGCAATCAATAATAATGCTGTATGGCTCTGCTTGAAGTCCTCCTTACTTTTGCTGGCGGGTTCTCGGAGTGCACAGAGGATGCGGTAAAATGTACCGCAGCTCTCCTCCCAAGTATCGGGTCAGGGAGGGCCTTGTGAGATTCCAGGCATGTAAGAAGGCAGGTCCTTGGGAGATATACCTAATGCACTTTTCTTACGTTTTAGAAATAAAAATTTGGGGATCAGAGGCTCTGAATGGGGAACAGGGGACCCGAGGAGGTTTGCTACGACGACTTTTGCCGGGCGAACAACAGATGCACGCAGTGGGGCACAAGGGCGTGAACAACAAGTTATTAGTCTCAGTTAGCGACATATGTGACTATTAGATTGGGAAAATTGGGCTGAATTGCTCTGAATAGACTGTTTGACAGCTCAGTGGTGCATCGGTCGTATAGAAGGGCCACTTCTGATACAGGCTTATGGAGGAGTGTCTAGAAGTTCTCTCTCGTGAGATTATTCAGAACTCCAGGCATTCACTCAATTTTGTATTTTCTGTGAAGCTGGTTGAGAATCTTCGTAGCTCAGCCTCGGTATCAAGAGAGCTCGGAATAGTTAGTTGTCTTGATGCTACGTCAAAATTGATTTATAAAATAGGGCAACTTTTGGGAACAAAAACTAAAGAGCCGTAGCTTTTAATAAATTTGCATAGGCACCACAGTATTGGAAAATATTCGTTATGATTATGGGGTTAAAAATGTTAGTTTTCGGTCTGGTCTGGCGCTCCCGGAACAGTGCCAGAAACCTCTTGAGGAGGGGTTGTGCAAAGATGATACGGTGCGAAGTAGAAAATTGAGCTCTTGATGCTGCCGAAAAATATTTTTGCCAAAATTTAAGTAAAACTATGGATTAGAGCGGCTTTCCTGCTTTTAGACAGCAAAATTGGGGCCCTTCACCACTGGTTAGCGCAGCTCGCATGTGAGATTAGCTAACTGACTGCAATGCGAAGACGAGCCTTGCGCAAATTGAGTGTTTTCACTTACCTGAGAAAACTTGAGCATCTGCGTTTTAGGGCTATTTGGCTTCTTGTCGATGTTGCACCAAGACGCGCACATAGCATGCGTCTTGTTTTGACAGCTGCTTCTGGGGAGCTTCCAATCAAGCATTCCAAGGACACGGGTGGCCGCCATCTATGTCGAGCTCAGGAGCCATGAACTCTATATAATAGGCAATATTCGTAAATGAACACCTTTTTGACTTCAGTTTCGTGGTTGCGCGGTGTCATCCCACTCTCTAGTGCTCTCGCTTTTCATGTTTCCCAGCTTGAACGAACCTTCGATTCTTTGCCTCACCAGGTACCTGATTGTTGACATATGACATATTTGCGATGGTATTGCCACCTACTACGCTAATAAGCACAGTTACTTTGTATCATATGGCCCAGGGCTTGGCAACGACTTCGTGCACAATTTTGACATCTGCCCGTTACCAATAAGTCAAATACTTGGTGAACACGGTTCTTGCAAACGGACTATCTGGTCGAACTGTGCGCGGCAATCTGGCCAAGCCGAATTTTAGGTCTGGATTGAAAAAGCCAGCCTCTCTCTAACTTGGGAGTGTGTTATCCTGTGGTCCCTCTTGCCGTTCAGCCCGTCTCTATGCAAGTCTTGGATATCCCCAAACCCCTGCTCTTTTATCCTTGTCTGGTAGTAAACTTTCTGTTTCTTGGAAGGTTAAGGAAGGAAATCCTGCTTGCACCTTAGTTTGTGCCATTTTACGCTTTCATGTCCGTTCAAGTGCCTACCACGTGCTGGTAGTCTGAAGTGACAGCTTTGCTACGGACTGGCCCCCCGGATTTACTTGCAGACTGGTACCTGCTCTCATCTGCCGCTTTGTACGTGCGCCAGAGTGAGAGTGATTGGTTAGGGAGCAGATATCACTTTTTGAGGTGTACCCTCCATCTGGAGGATATCTTGAAGATGCAGCACATGCTTGAAGACGAAGAAAGCCCGCAGGCCATACCATCAAGTGTTGAAAAAGCTGCAGACACTAGCAATAGTAGCTCTTTACCTACACAAGGGGGTGTCGCTTTGTTGGAGGCCTCTGCGTCCAATCCTTCGGCTCCGCAAAGTGAAACAGAAGACAGTTCCCCAGCCGAGGAAGTCCTTCCTCAAACCATTTCCTCTTCCACGCCAGCTTCTCAACGAGGTAGCCTTAAGAAGCCTGTGCACCATGATGCAGACCCTGATGGGGGATTGATGCTTTTAGGTGCCCCTAGAATCAGGAGGCGAAACAGTACGCAGATCGACTTGCCAGCTGTCAACGTTGAGGCTTCGCATGAGCCTGAAGAGGCTCGAGAAGAAACCGCGGTCCTTGGAAGAAGACACCCAAGGGACGCAAGGCCTGCTGTGGCGAAGCGCGCCCGATTTGCACCCACAGAAGGGCGCGCCACTGGGGGAGCATCTTCTAGCGATCACCAACCATATGCCAGCCGCCTTCGCCATGCGCCTCTCACACGCAGTGGATCCGAAGCTCGGGCAACAACACAGTCAGCTCCCGCCATTGTAGAGCCAAGCAAACAGGCAGATGCAATGGAATCTGGATTGGCATATGATCGGAGCGCCTGCTGTGAAGGAGAGGCGCACCAGCGAACCCTTACATCTCCCGGTATCTCCAGTCCACAGATGGTCAAAAGCGTATCACCAGCAGGTGTCGTCCGAATTGGGGGGAGAAATCGTCGAAAACGCACGAAATATGACCTTGCATACAAACAGATGGAGGAACTTGGCACGTTTGAAGAGGAAGCGAAGTCTGTTGACCTTTCAAAGGTCAGGATGCACTTAAGTTGCTGGTTGGTACACCCAGAGCAGCGATGCAGGAACAAGCGTGCTATATATATGTATATATATATTCCTGTGCCTAATGATCAATGCCTTTCTCCTCGGTAGTCCTCGAGATTTTGTAGTGCATGATGCTGCATCCATTTTCACAGGTTTCAGGGAGTGGCTTTGCGCTGGAACTGCTACGCAACCCCCAACAATACGCCTATGGCTCATGGGCATATGGATTTGCCTGGCCTGTTGGTGCGGACGGACGCCGTCTGCTTTTGCGAAAACTACGGGGAGTTTTTTGGTCTAATCCGGAGAAGTGGCAGCGCGTTTTGCAAGAACACAACCTTTACCGGAGGGATTTGTTTACACTTGCCACAGTCCAGGTAGGCACTGCGACATCTGAGCATGTGCGTGTAAAGCCGCAGGAGGCCGTGTTGAGTTGTTTGTGGACTCTCTAGCTACAGGACCAGCTTTGACATGTTTGAGCAATGCGGATGACACAGGAACTCTTCAAAGTTACGCATCTTATGGGCGAGGAAGCGTGGGATTTCCTTTTGAAGTGTACGGCACTAACGCAAAAATGTGATGCTCTCACCAATAAAGACCTCGACCTCGGAGAGTATGTCATTCCTTGCTGCCTGACTCATCATACAAAACCCGCTCGCTCTATTTTTGACTCGAAACACGCAGATTGCCTATATCTGCTTGACAATGTAATGCTTCAGACCTTCCCGAAGTGTCGCCTCCAAGGGCTTTCAAGCGTTTGTCGCATCTTATTCTGCTTTGCTGTGAATCTTGCGATATTGTGCTTTTCATTAGGGACGACGAATCAGGAAGTTTAATTCCGTGTGGAGTAGCACAGAGGGCAAACCAACAGTCAACCCTAGATAGATCAAAGTCAGAAGATGAATCGCCATCGAATACGTTTTTCGGAAGCAGACTGCCTTCATCCGGATTTGTAAGGAAGCGCATGTCCTGCGGCGGGCGAGAGGAGAAGGATGCGAACAAACGGTGCCGCGGAAGGCCGCGAAAGCCATCCCTCAAGGCACAAGAAAACTCATCGGAAGCGGAGGCGCCATCAGATCCTTGTGTAGCGAGGCACACTTGCCCATCAACACCCACCAGTGATGCTACGTCCAGGTGGCTACCCGAGGCGGACCCTTCCCCTTACAGAGATGCCCGTTCTTCTTTGCAATCCCCATTGGGGGGCACTGCGGACAGTCCTCCTTGCCATGTGGACGAGGAAGGCGCTGCTGACGGAGGAGCCGAGTTGCTGGAAGCGAGCCTCAAAGAACATAGACGCTTGGTTGCATCCATGATCAAAGCTACGCCTCCAGTTCCAGGGGATGACACTTTTTGCATTCCCGCAGAAAAGGCATCCCGTTCGCCCACAGAGCTCCGACTAGCACTCGCCGGAAAGCAGAATAACGCCATGCTGAAACTGACGACGCACTACGCATTTATGGCGCAGTTCATGCAATGTTGCATGCTTGTGGAAGTCCAGCGAACTCTGCTGAAAGTAGCGGAGGATTTGAAGACTGCTTGGCCATCGGACAAAGAACGAGAGAGCCCTACAAAGCGAGCAGAAGGGAATATGGATCCTGCAGCTCGTGCATGCTTCGACTCGCTCGTTCGCAGCAGCAACATTCATATGCAGTTCGTTCAGCTCATCGTGCAACAGCTGCAGCGCCACTCAGCCGATGAGCCATCAGCCTCCTCTTCAGCAGAGCAGCAGTCCAATTTCAACCTAAGTGAGCATTTTAGTGCCATCGTTCAGCAGCTACAGCTTCAGCGTATGCGGGACCATCTGATTTTCGCTCCTGCCGACTCCGCAACAGCCGTGACGAGCGACGTTCTGGGTCCTCTTGGGGGTATGCCTGATATCCAGGCCTATCAAGGCTACGGTGGGGAGGCCGAAGCAGCGAAGACAGCAGGAAAAGCACATGAGTCATGCTCAATGAAGACGGAAAGTGTGGGAGACTCCACTTATCTTTTCGATGTACCCAGGGTGCCATCCGTGGACGTACCGGCAGGTCGCTCGGACAACCTGGCCAATTCCTTTCAAGCACTTAGTTGAGATTAAATGGAACTGTGCTAAAATGGCCGTATTGCTGCAGAATGGCAATCTTCTCCTTTGCACTAGAGCGAGCTCTTTTGCGAGTGGAATGCAGAAACAAGACCCTTGAGTAAGTATAAGTTTTATTCTTGCTAAATGTTCGGACTGTGGACTTTTAAGGTGCTGTTTGATGAGAGTCCGTATGGTGATACCTCACCACTTTCCCACCCGGGCTTTTTTTGGTATGGAAAGACAAACTCGAACTATACGGCTGCACGATGCTGGAGTGTCTGGCGGGCTGTCAGCCCGCTTCGAATGACTCAGAAATTAGTGCAAACAGTAACGCTCGGGGTAATTTACTAGGCAAGTAATAATCTCTAATGGCAGCCTGCTATGCAACGTGGTATGACTGGGCGCAGCCCCCTCACTGGGGGTGAAGCAGCTTGCAGAATGCTTTCCAATCAAGGTGCTAATACTTTCAGATTAGTCATTCACCTCATTGCACGAGGTAGGTCTATTACCGATATATGTAGCCCTGTAGACAGAGCTATATATATATATATATGGAAGGCATAGTGCCCATGAGGAGCAAGCAACATGCATGACTCACTTCGCCCTCAAGCACGTGAATGACTGCTGTGCGAGCAGTTCCGCCCCCACCCAGCCAGCGGGAGTTCCGCACGTCACATTCCCAGATACCGGTGGCTATGTGGGCGACCAGACTTAGTGCTATATCGTCATTCTGCGAAGACCCGAATCGTATTTCCGTTAAGATCGCCTTTGTCAAATTGAGCTGCAAGAACAAGCACTCAGACGATGTCGCAGAATTTTGGCAACATGCCAACCAACTTCAAGCACAAGAAGTGGTGTCTTTGCAATTCTTAGCCTCACGGTCAGAGACGTACCCACTGCCGCCTTCGCAGCATCCGCAGATGCATATGCAATGCATACCCGACCAGTATGCTCTCCCTGCGTGCAACTCATCATACATGACGATAGTTGTCACGTTGTGTGTTCATTGAAGGAAGCCTATCAATTGAGAGCTAACTACTGCATAATGCTTTTGTCATTCAAAGCATTGCCTTGCAAAGAATAATACCTTGCTGTTCAGCATTATGTCAGTCCGGAGCACTATCCCCATACAGCTGAATGCTTCCTGGATTTCCACAGCTGGCAGATCCTTCGGAACCTGACGCAGTACCGCCACGTAAAGTCAAAGACATGCATTGCAGCCAATGATGCATAGAGCTGCGATTCCGTCATGACAACAGATGCAGCTCATGAAACAATATCCGCCTGCCCGTTTCCCTGAAAGACCGTGCCTCCTCTTAATGCGGTCGTACGTTGGCCTCTCGGGCGCCGCCCTACAAGCGAGCTGAAGTGTGAGTCGTGTTTTCGGCCAGCAAGGTAAAGAAGTATCTCGTGGCTCTTACATTTGAAACGATTACTGTGAATTCCATTCGCTCTGCAAGGCTAGCGTCGCCAGCAGCAGCACTGCCCGCTGCTGTGGCCGCAGCACCTCGAACTGGCACACCACGGAACGCTGGTGCTGTAGCGCATTGATCAGGTGGACTCTGCCCTTTCCACACGCCTTCTTGATTATTCGAATGGCTGCAGTGACCAGGGGGGGCGACGATCTTTTCGTGCGCCATTGGATAGGCACGGCTTCTGTCCCCTGCCGCGTCTCCCGAGTACGGAGATTCATAATATGCGGCGGAAGGAGGATACATAGGACCATATCCGTAGCTCATTTGATTCGACGCAGCCCCTTTTGTTTCATCCACCAGATGCGGACTTGGGCCCGAGCTCGGCGCAAAAGCCGGAGGGCCAAGGGCGTAGCCCATCGGATTACATGCTGGCGAGTGGTTGCCGTTAATATCTTGCACCGCATCTGGAAGCCGAGAGCGCTTCCACAATGGCCGTGGAGGGCCTGCAGCGCAGTACCCGCATTTTGAAAAAAGCCTGAGAAAAGTCTGCAGTCCCCCCTTCACGGTATGAGCAGCAGAGGCAGTTTTCAGGATGAACTAGAAGCTTCACGGTAGGTGCTTGATAGCCGGTTGCACTGGGGGTGCGTACTAGCATATGGCCCGAACATTGGACGACGCGGAGGGTAGTCATATTCGCCTGAAGCAGTAGGTCTAGGCGGCAAGGGAAAGGAACGTGGAGCTGAGACACACACGAATCACAAGTGTTTGCTTTAGGGCTGCTGGGAGGGCATTTTTTTGGTGCGCTCATGCCCACCGTTCAGCCAATCGCCCTCACACGCAATGCGAATGCACGCGAAAAGAGATCTTTCAGAAAGAAGCACACGCCTCAAGCAGCAAGCGACGCCTTACGGCCAGGGGGGCCCGCCCCGATAGGAGGCGGCGGAGGCTGCACGCCACTGGGTGGGACCAAGTAACTTCCGCCTAGGTGCCTTGGTCTAGGCCATCTTGCATCCATCCTGGGGGGCCCCACAGGAACAGGGAAAGGCTGGCGGGGGCCTACACCGAAGAATGGGGCCCCTGGCAGTCTCCCAGAAGGGGCCCTCGCTGGGGGAGGCAGTGAACGTGTGGGCGGGGCAGGTCTACTGGGAAAGCTGGTCTGCCCTCCAACATGAGGGGGGGCCAGGGGGGCAGCGCGTTTCGTGAAATCGGTTTGTACAGTTGGGAGTGGACGGGAGGGCGAGGAGTTCGCTGCGGGTGGAGGCGGAGAGGTAAGCCCTGCGAGGGTGAACGTGGCACAGCAGTAGGACTATGGCTTGTGCACCTGGAAAGCCACCCCAATCAACGGTCTCCCTTGGACGCGGAGTTGAGTTCAAAGGGCACACACGCACTGGCTTACCCTGAGGTGCTCCCCTCGCTCTGCGCTTTTTAAATTGACTTGAACCGTCCTGTTGTTCTTGACCAATGATTTCATCGAGGCTCATGTCGAGCCGCGCGGAAACTTGTTCATCGTATTCCATCGTGCCGCGAAAGGAGCAGCTTCACAGCTGTATCAATGCAAGCGCAACAGGCTCAGTGCAGTGCTGACTGCGCGCACTCCCGCGTGCAGCTGGAGCTCTCGGCTGCAAGACAAACAACCATGCGGACTGGGTGCGTCTAGACGCATGCTGCTCATGACAGCAGCACGCCCCAATACAAGCAGAGCTCGGCGATGCTGTGTGCGAGCAAGGCGGCAATAATTGCTGCTATGGGACGATGACGACAGAGGTGCCGGCTATGGGAGCCCCTCGACAGAAAAACGATCGTGCTTTCGGCCCTTGAACTCTCCTAGCCCAGGTGCACGCCGTTCATTCATGTACATAACGCAAATGGGAAGGGAAAATTCTTCGAGATGGCTACTATAAGGCGCGTGCAGCCCATCATCCAGCCGCATAACAGGGGACACTCCAACTGTACCCCGTATGCAGGCAACACCCGGTTGTCCTGAGCCTTTCAAACATCAATCACTTGCAATTCATTTGCTGGCGGGGTATGCATATTAGTAGAATGGTGCACAGGAAAAGTGCTGGAGGAAGTGGGGCGACGATTTCACTGGCAAGCTTGCATGCACCGAGGGCCCTTTTGCCGACGTGCGACGATCGGTATTGTCAGCCATCCTTTTAGTTACTTTTACGAAACGTAGTAAGCTTATGTGTTTTTCTAAGAAATGACTGTCCAAATGCCGCCAGCATGGACCCTGAAATTGAATTCAGCCAGCATTTTGCAGATCAACAGCACCAGGTTGCTACCCCTGGATCCATGATGGCAGAGCACTACGACGACGTTCAGCCATCGTCTGCACCAAATTGGATCACAAGTTTGGAAGAGGAGCTTGATCAGAAAATACTGGTGATTCTACGTGATGGCAAGAAGCTCATTGGCATTTTGCGGACATTTGACCAGTTCGGCAACTTAATGCTGGAACGCTGCGTTCAGCGCATTATCGTTGGTACATATTACGCCGATGTGTATCAGGGGGTAATGATCATTCGTGGGGAAAACATCCTGCTGTTTGGAGCCATCGATGAGTCAAAGCCAAATCCTCTGACATCTCGACCGCTATGGGAAGTCCTGGAGCTTCATGAAGAGCAGGTACTGGGTAGGAGTAAAGATGCTATGTAGCTCCTGTGTGCTGCTCTATTCTCTAGCATTTAACGAAGTGTGCACGAACTTGACTCGTCGTTGGGTGGTAAGCGGTATAGGGCACTAGAGCTGTCGATGCATTGAATTTTCCCCCATTGAACGCAGTATATCATTTCTTGCATTATTTGCATGTTTTTGCCAGGAACGACGCGAGATGCAGAGGAGGCGCACTCTACGGCAATTGGGCGACTACAACTATGGCTATGACCTGCCAGATGACTAGAATTCGTCAGTATATCAGACGGAGCGGAGAGGGGAAAACGTCTCCTCATGAGGTATTATGGAGGGAAAATTTACCTTCTGATCCCAAGTATGGTTTTCAAGATATTGCTGGTGAAAATATGGTTTTTGCCTGTTGAAAGTGTTGCCAGTGCGGCATTCGTAGCGATTACAATGCTGGTAGTGCGTGGTCATCTGTAATGTTGCACCATCACCATGCACGTAGCTTCACATCTTAGCGTGAGAACCAACGTGATGCCAGTGGATTGCTGTAAATGACATACAGAATCGACCCAAGCTGCAACGGTTATTGATGAGATTTGATAACCAGCCTGTAGTTCTTGCTTAGAGTGGTCTGGCTGTAGCCGTTCTGGCTCACGTGGAGATGCCTAACGAGCCAGCGTGTTTTGAGCTGGTGTGGAGTGATGTAAGACTAGTCAAACCGTGGGCGGGTAAATGATTAGCCGATGGCTGTCCATTGCCCTTGTATTGGCTAGACTTGGGTGCGAATGCGCATTTTTATGGTTTTATGAACCAGCTAAGTGCTAGCAGGTTGCTGTGTATTTCCTGATGGACAGGAAACTGATTGGACTAACTTCGGCGTGCAGCAGCACTGCGCGCCACTTAATATGTTGTAGAGTACCGGACGAGTGTCGGGCCCCCGCATTATTTGAGGTGGTAGCCTGGGTGGTACTATCTTAGCTACAAGGGGGCAACACAGCCCAATTTTACACAAGGAAAAACTGGGGATGCCGCACTGGACAATTGGACGTCTAACGCTAGGGTTTGCCGTTGCACCACTTGCAGTTTCCATCCAGTACATACCGTCAATAAAGATACCGTTCTGCGCTCGCATCAGACCAACCTGTAGTACACACTCCCGATTCTTCCGGAGGACCGATGACAAACCTATCGTGCAACTGAACCTGGTTCTGCACTAAGAGGTAATGATTCAGCATGCAGGGCCAATTTTCAGGCTCACTAGCACAGAGCACTTTTGTGGAAATCATACGAACAGTACCTCAGATTCATGTTCACCTACAGTGAAGGACACTATGTATCACGGCTCGTTGGTGTTGTGCTGCAGGCACGCCGCCTGCTTGTAGTGGTGACGCACAAGTAAATAAATCAGGATGTTAGTTGGCTTTTGGAAAGTCAGTTTCAATTTAACGCACTTTACAATATCCCAAATTAAAGAGTTTTGCCAGTCCGAACGTCATGTAAGGAATAAGAATCTACCCGGCTGAAAGTGTGCCTATTTGCATCGTAGCACGCGAAGTGTGATGCGTGAACGAATACCGGTTTTTGGCAAGACAATGCCCAAGCCTGTATATTTAACACCAGTCTCGTTGCCTGTCGCTTGAATCAGGACTCTAAATAGTGCGAGGCGCTGCAGACACTAGATATCTACTGAATGTTCACTTCAGACTTTTGTCCAGCGGCTAAGGGAGTGACAGAAACCTCGACATACGGATTTGTCGGCTTGCTGGTCACTGCACGCATATCTTGCTGCATGGTGGTCATTCTGTCTGCACCTCCGTACTGAGCCCTTTCCTCTTGATGTGGCTGCTGCTGCTGTTGACCCGCTTCCTGCGCACGAGCAGCGAATTCGGCCTGCATGTGCTGCTCATGTCCCATTGCATGCATATTTCCGAGTGGTCCGGGTCCCCCCATGTAATGCTGTGGAAGACCAGCTTGAGCGAGCACCTCCACCGTTCCAGCAGTGCCTTCCGTGATATGGTCAACCCTTGGGGCGCAGCAAGAAGAGAGTGTGTAGCATGCACCACCAGGCTGGAAACTGCCCTTGAATTGCTCTTTGCTTCCCTGATAGTACAGTGGTAGAAGCTGAGGGTTTCCCATGGCCTCTTTCGGTACTGGATGCTCAATAGTTCGCTGGACATGTACTGGGACGGGGACTTCCTTATAGCGAGGCTCAATCTTTGGGCACAGGTACTCCTGCACTATCTGGAGCTCAACGGGTACGGGAACGTTACGGTCGACAAGTTTTTCCACGGGAATCGGCCTGTAGTGCGTCATCGGCACCTCGACTGGTTTGGGAATATGCCTGTATTGAGGAGTCATGACGTTCCTGTAGGTGTGTTGGATATGAGGCACTTCCACGACTTTCTCCATTTCGAAAGGCCTCTGTACTACTTGAGTGTAAGGTTTCTCCACCACTTCCTCTTGCTTAACCTCTTCAGTAACCTCCAGAGGCTGTTCGAACGCGACATCTCGATACTCCACCTCAGGAATTTCAATTAGCTTCTCTTTTACAATCTTACGAGGAACTGGTATCACTCTCTCCTGGACTACGACACGGGGTACTTCGATTATTTTCTCTTGATACACGTACTGAGGGACCTCAACGACCTTGTCGACAACCTGAACAGCAGTCAGAAAATACAGCATACACACACCAAACATCGAGACTACTAGGAAATTAGGCAATCCTTAGTGGAGCGAGCGATCAATACAGAAAATTCTTTATGATTATCAAGGTACCATGCATTTTCGCTGATGAGTAAGCAGCTCACCTTGACCTGAGGCACCTCTACGATCTTCTCCTGGTAGACGACCTTAGGAACATGCTTGATGCGTTCCTGAATCACAGGCTTCGAAACATGCGTTATCTTCTCGTGCACGACGGTCTGTGGAACCTCGACAATACGGTCTACGTATTGCACTTGAGGGACTTCAATGATGCGTTCCTCCACTTCGTGCTTCAGGACTTCGACGATGCGCTCCTGTAAAAAGTTTAATTGCACATGATGCATTTTAAATAAAGTTCTACACACGGTTTCGTCTTCGTGCCTTAGGCTCGACCGACACAAGCCTAAAATCACTCAGATTCCACTCTTCTGGTGCCATGAACATAAAATCTTCGTATTCTTGTCGCTAAAGCGGCTTAGGGTAGAAGACGAAACACTGGAGAACGTGTCGGCTGCAACTAATCTACCCACCTGAACCAGAGGCTCGAGGTATCTGGGTTCTCCTTGCTGTGCAATAGTTCCTGAAACAAGGCGGCTCCCAGGCGGAAGTTGTCCTTGCTGAAGATGCTGATCAGCCTGTTCTACCCCGGCTTCACCGGGGCAGCATGGCTCGCAACACTCGCTGAAGACTCTCATCTTGATGGATGGTATTTATCACAGAAGCAATATCCAGCCGATGATCGGGGATTCAGATCCAATTTCAATGGAAAGGGCTGGATATGAAAGCCCAGAGTATCTGGGACGCAGCAAGAAAGGTTGCTTTCACCGACGGTCAGTGTGGCTGACAGCCGTCGGCACCGGCTGGCAGAAGGGTTTAGCCGAACACAAGACTGTGTTGGCAAACGATATTTATCCCGAAACGTTTTGAGGCCCTTTCACAGAAAAAAAGCTGAAATAGGAGGTGCAAAGGAGAAGTGTGAGACCGCGGGTCAGGCCTGGGGTTCCAAGCAAACCGCCACTGTAGACTTGCAGTAAATCCGCACCATCGATTAAGCCGTCGAGCCATTCGGCAGCACCAGTTCACCAGCAATCAGCCAATGGCAGGGCCAGCTGCTCGACCGTGCCGGCCGGTGCGATGCACGTGCTGCGCGACCGCGGCTGGAGGGCTCATCGGCTGCAGGCGGCTGTGCCTGGCGTGTCGGCCGCTGGTTCGGTTTGGCAGCTTCAACCACAGAGTTTTTAGGCAGCAAATCGACTCATCAATGCTTCTTCGTAGAAGTATCTTGCTACAGCTTTTACAACATCCAGTCTTTAGCCATTTAGAGCTCCTTTCCCCGCTTTTCTTGGCGGCGTCGCCTGCACCACCGAGTCGCAGGTGGCTCGATACCCAGGCAGCCGCAAGTTCGAGCGTGCCTTGTGGATAGATAGAGCCCCCCCATTCTTTTCCCTTTCCTTTAGGTGAATAAGACAAAATGTTCTCAAACTGCAGCGATTGTTGTGCCCAAGGAGGGGACGACAGTCAAAACCAGCAACAACAGCAATCTGGTCAACCGAACCAAGCCCAGCTAAATGTTCCCGCTAATGCCCACCTCCATGCAACCGCAGAGTCTGTGCGATCTGTCATGCTTGAAGAAAGGACAGAAAGGGAAAGGGCAGTTGCTGTTTCAGAGCAAACTGAGCGCCAGTGGGTAAGATTTCCGGCTCTGGCGGCTAGCGCCCCGCTCAGTGTATGTGCGTTCGATCCAGTGTTAGACCTAGATGACCTTGGATCAATGCTAGAATAGCAGTAGTCCTGCGCGTCACTAATGAGTCGGCTGTGCTTAGCAAGTCGCTCTTGGCATGCACAACTGATTCCGGCGTTCACACCACAAGCCACTGTGGCTACTTCTCCTCTCGATTCCTCGATAGAGGCTCCTGCGTATAATGTTGGATCCCACCCTATGCGCATGATTTATTCTTGTCGGGTGTGCTCTCAGGTGGCGATTACCGCCTACCAGCCAGTTGATACTGTGGTAAAGACTGTGGAGGTCCCAGTTGTTAGGACGATCGAAACATATGTGCCCAAGGTTGTTATTGAAGAGAAGATCGTCGAGGTCCCCAAATTCGTGCCTGAATATGTAGAGAAGGTATGCTTTGCCCCTGAGATTACACATGCACAGCTTCTTTGTGCAGCTCCATTCCATGTCGATGAAAGTATTCTTACTGAACTTCGCAGATCGTGGAAGTCCCCGAGGTCAAGGTGGTAGATAAGATCGTTGAGGTTCCGCGCTATGAATACCAGTACAAGTACTTACCCAAGATTGAAACCCAAGAAAACATTATCCAGCGCCCGAAATACGAGACCAAATACGTAGAGAAGATTGTCGAGGTGCCCCAAGTCAAGGAAGTCGTACGCTATCAGGATGTCGAAGAAATCGAGGAGGTTATCAGGTGAGCAGAACTGATCACGCCAATCCTGTGTGGGCTTGTGCATATACGTACATTGCTGTACAGAGTGCAGAAAGAGTATCATATTTTCTTCTTCCGTGTTGACTGCGAACCGTTCAGGTATGTGCCAAAAGGCCAGGTGGCTACAGAGGAATGGGCAAAGCTGAAGGCAAAGCATGAGCAGGAAGTTAAAGTGGAAAGAGAGGCTAGAGAGGCCCAGTACAAGGCGGAGCAGGAATATCAAGAGCTAATTGCAGAGGAGCAAGCAGCCTATGAGGCTAAACGCATGGGATTGCCTAGAGGACCAGCCCCTGCAATGCCTCCAGTGAGTTAAAAAAAGCTTTGTCTTACTGAATTTCTAGCGAAGGACGGTATACTAGCGCTTTTACGATTTTGGGTCGGTGCCGGTGTATTAGGCAGGTCAAGAACTGTTTGTTATTGCTGAAATTGCAGGCTCCACGTTTGGAACAAGTCTTCAAGCCAAAGGTCGTCAAAACCGTTGAAATCCAGAAACACGTTCCAGTTTCAGTGGATGTCCCCGTGCCTTATATGGTCCCAAAGCCCATTGTCGTCCCAGTTCAGGTGCCGGTGCTAAAGTTCAGAGACCATTTCGTCCCCGTTCCTGTTCGGCGTCGCGTGGTTCCTCGCGTCCGGTGGACCAACGAGGTTTATGAAGTTGAGTGCATCAAGGAGAAACCCTTCCTTCAGGTTCAGGATATCATTAAGCCAGTACCGTGCGATGTTGAGATCAAGGTGCACGAATTTGTGGAGAAGGCACAGCCAATTAATCCTGCTGAGCTCTCTCAAGCAGACGTTCACGCTATGTGGATGAGAGTTAACGCCGATTTGGCGGAGAGGAGGAAGGAGGAGCTCGGCGATAAATATCCATACGTCCAGCATCCTGAAGGCACCGTATTCGGTGAGCCGGGCAGCAAGAGACCAGACGAAAGTGCAGAAGGAGCTGAAGTGAGCGACCCCGAAGCTCGTGAAGGAGTAGAGCCTCTCGCCCTACATCCAGGACACCCACTGAACATGACATACTTGCAGAACGAATGGATCAAGAAGGAGACAACTGAAACCCATGAGATGTACACACCTGAATGGTTTGAAGCTCACCAAAAGGCATTGCACAGCATGGCGATGCAGTACCCGACTCAGGTACAGCTATCAGCTGAACAGGCCGCCAGACTTCAACAAGATTCTCATGCCTTTGGCGAGGCACCTTGGGTTGAGGTGGATGAGCACGGACTGCCAAAGACGAGGGCTCAGCAAGCGGCGAAGCCTGCATCATGCTGCCCCGTCTGCTCAGCAGCCTGTGGAGGAAGCAGTGGAGCCTGCTGTACTTGCAGTGGCAACTAAATTTGCCAATGGCTTGCTGGAATGCATGGTATTCCCTTTTTGCACAGCGTGGAACTTGGTGTTCCCGGCCAACCTTAAATAACAAAGGAGCCTTAGGAAGTTGCCAATTTACGGAAGTTATCCGGAGATCTCTCGCAGTAATTCATCGTTCCAAATTCAGAGACTTTACGGATGTGTAAAGTAGCTATGCAAAGCAATTGTGACCATCTCTTCAGCTGCAGTGCCATATGCTTCCTTGTATATCAATCTGGCATTCATCTTATAACGAATCTGGGGCAAGTATCTACAGCAACTCATAATTTAGCTGTGGCTAGGGTGATCCTGGCTACCAATGGAGGCCCGATTCACGGCGGCTGCCTGTAGGCAGTGCTGCCTTAGAACAGTGTTTCATGGCATTGATTCGGTGACGACTACTTGCTGGTGCGTGCACCAATCTCGCTCTGTCGAATGGACGGAACAAGTCTAGCTAATTATTGAAAAATAAGGTTACATTATAGGAGAATGATATGATGAGGGCTTGGCAAGAAGAGGCATCTGCTGGGGCCGTGCAACGCACAAACAAATCGCTATGTTGACCACAGACACATCAGATGTTTATTCCTTCAAGTATTTGCACAGCCCAGAGTTGTAGTATTGCTTGAATGCCTCCTCCACCATAGGCTTTGTTAGTGATACGTCTTCGAGTGTGTAGTTGTGTTTCGAGAGCTTCCTGCGGGTATTCCTATCCTGATGACAGAATTCAGTCATGCGTTCGCGTGCCTGCTCGGTCAGCGGAATGTCGAAGTGGCTGTAAATCTTGGTTACGGTGCCCAAGGGATCATCAATCAAATCTTTGTACTGCACGTCAAGTATTTGGTTCTTTAGATCTGGCCTGGTTGCACGGAAGTCCAGAGCTCGGTTGATCATTCTAGACATTGCTTCTAACTCGAGCTTCCCAAGTTCTGCAGGGTTCACCGAGTCAAGGAGTGACTGCTGAGCACACCTCACCAGGCTGGCCCAGCTTGCCACAGTATCTTTGGGGTCCCTGAGAAAAACAAATTAAGAATGCGCACTACTGTGGCATTAATCCAAGGAACTAGTATTTAGGCAGCTCGACATCCCGTGACGTTGAGTACAGAAGGCTCCCTCGACATGTGCTTACCTGTGCATGAAAATAATCCTTGCATCTGGGTAGGTGTCGAAAAGTGCATCAAGAGTGAAGAGGTGGAATGGCATCTTTAGAAGCCAACGATCAGCAACGCGTTGGTATTGCAGATGCTGAAGGAATCGCTTATGGAATTTATATGCGTTCTTCATTTCCTGGTAGTCATTAGCATACAGCCACTTGCGATACGACGGGACATTAAATTCGGTGCAAATGGAATAGCATCTGCCGCAGTGCTCAAGGATAACAAAATCTTCTTCTGGAAGTTCGGCACTCTGTGCATGGATGCTTATCCATTCCTCGGACAAAGCCAGCTGGCTATCGAGCACTTCCTGTGCAAAGCTGATTCTTGGATCCTGTACAAAAAGGGCACATCGCATTGGGCAGACGCAAACTTTTGAGCAGCATTGTTTCTACAATTGTCATCACAAGCAACGGGAAACGGCTGTGGAGCTTATTCTTGCAGTGTGCCCACACGTACGCGGTTCCACGATTCAGGGTCGTTGCTGAGTCCCTTTTGGTAGTAGTGGCCATTATTGCCGTATGGGGCAATCATTTCGCAGTAACGGGCTGAACGATTGGATATGTCAGTGGCCATAATGTTCTGAAGGAACGTTGTGCCTGTACGATTCAGCCCAACAATGATCAGTGGCTTCTTGACCTCTAACTGCTCAATTTCTGGGTGGTTGAGCCTCATATTTTCCATGTACATGAGGTTCATGAGCTGCTGTCTGACGGTACGGAACATTGCTAGTTTGCCACAGAACGACGGGTTGGATTCCTGGAGAAGTGAGTCTTTCAAGATATGTAGTGGCTTCATGAAGTAGTCATGATCTTTCCCTAGAGAGTCTAGTCCTGAGATTCTCTTTGCATCCTCCAGGCACGCCTCAGGATCGACGCGAATAGCTTTAGAATTCTTGGGGAAAAAGCCGGATTGAACACTGAGAACAGAGTAGCACTTGCACACGAGGAGGAAGACTATTCCAAGGTGCAAGAGTCAGTCAGAATCTAGGCTTTTGCAAAAACTTGAAACAGGTCCAAAAAACGTTTGCTAAAACACTTGCTGACCTGTAGAGTAGTGAATTTTTGAAGACATCTCTTTGGTCTGGCCACCTCGCGCTAGGCAGCGCCTCGAAGATATTCTTGGTTTCTATGGGGAAATCTTTTGTGCGTACTTCGGAGTCAAACCAATACTTTCTCATGAACTGGATTAGAGGCACAAACTTGAAAACGGGCGACTCTGGGCCACGAGCTTTGACCGCAGCAAGGAATTCGTCGATATGTACACCTTTGTACGCAATCCCAAGTTCTTGACTCCAGAGTTCCAGATGGTCCCTGATAATTAATTCAGGCGGAAATAAACCAGACACCGCAGCCAGATGAATACGAGCACAACAATGCATGCCTCTAAAGCTAAGGCACTCCTAGCGAGCGTAGAAAGTCTCACCCTGTTATGGTTCGAGGGTCGAATAAGTGGTACAAGAAGTGTTTAGGCTCCTTCAGGAAAGACACCCCAACCTGCAGTAGCAAGCACAACACTTTGCGAGTACGTCGGCGGCGGTCCTCCCAGTGCTGCCTCCCAAGATGAAAGAACCAGCAAGCCCCAGTGTCACTGACAGTGGTTGTGTGATTAGAAAAAAGAGCGAGTGCCTACCAGCATTTGACAGATAGTGTCAACCGGTGTGAGCGGAGCAGCAGCGCAGCCGACAGGGAATATTCCTTCTTGGACAGTAGACACCATAAGGGCAGTTGCGTAATCTGTTGGGTTTGTGTAGCCCGACGCGTAAGCCACGTAGGTGTTTGGTAGGCGGTAAATGAAGACAGGAAGCCCCTTCTCCTTTGCACTACAAAGAACCAGCTCAGCGGCCCATTTCGACCACGGATATCCCATTCTGAGAGGAGGATAGAAAGCCTCCATCTCCTCTGGTGTAGGCCTGCTGTCTTCCGTGATGACATAGTCCTGGTATGCTCCGGTAAACTCGCAGAAGAAAGCTGGGAACTGCCCGAGGGTGGAAGCAAAGTGCAGCGGCTTCAATCGATTCCTCGTGCAGAAATCGATAATTCCAAGCAGGCACAGGACGTTTGATGAACGAAGTCGTGCATAGTTGCTTAGTAGGTTGACGTCACCTCCTGTATGATAGACAATATCGACCTTCTTCGAAAGCTGCTCGAATTTTTCTTCCCCAAGACCCAAATCGGGGAGGGTAAAATCACCGGCCAGCGGGATGATCCGATTGCAGTACGCTTCCTTCCAGCACTTTGCCTCTTTGCATGCCTGCCTGATTCGGTCAAGCGCGTGCCCTGAGTCTTTGGCCCGGACGATGCAAATAACCTCCAAGTCTGCCGAAGCTTCCAAGAGTACAGAAAGCTGAATGCGACCAACAAATCCTGTGGCGCCAGTTAGCAGAGCGATTCGGTATTTCTCCGGAAAAACGATGGGTTCGATGCTCGTAACATCAAAGGTCAGCTTGTTTTTAAGCATTTCGACGTCTTCTGTGGGATGCGGAACACGCGTTGCGACTCGCGGCTTCCGCTGAGTATCAGACATTGCTCCTGTGGGGTTTGCATATGCGTCTCTGAGTTCTTCCCATGCGACGTTCAGGCGGTCAAAGTCTTCTGGGGCTGTGACCCCAAGCGTCTCGAGAGCACTCACAATGTCTTCGACTGAAGCCATGCCGCTAAGGTTCTCATATGATGACGTCAGCGAGTCTACGTACAACGTGTATCTCTCGGCAGGCACGAGGACAGACATGAGCCACTGGTCAATCGTTGTGTGCGAGGAATTCACCAGCGTCCCTCCAGCACCGGCGGCATCATCTGCGATATGGGCCCTGTTCAATATGTACTCCGCAATGTCTTCCACGCTGGGATTCTCAAACATCAGATTCTGAGGGAGCTTAATTCCAGTTTTTTCAGCAACGCAGTTGCGGAACTCAACTGCCCCGAGGGAGTCAAGTCCTAAATCTATGAGCGGCGTGGAAGCCCCCGGCTTCTCCGTAGACCCAGACACTGTCTGCGCAATGTCCACAAGAATTTCAACAAGTGCCCCCTTGCTTATTGAACTCAGGTCGATCGAGGCACTGAGGCTGGCCGTGCTGACAGTAGACACCTCAGAAAAGAAGGGGGGTGGGTCGAACGCGTAGCGCCTCAGGAACTTTCGCCATACCAACGCCTGGGCACACACGACGCCTTGCTGCGGAGCTTTCAGCACGTCCTGCAAAACTCTTGTACCAAGCTCATTGCTTATTCCCATCATACCCGCCTTGTCAAGATGCTGCTTCAAGCCAGCTGCCATTCCCTGCTCGATCCACGGCCCCCACTGAATGCTCTGACCACACAAACCGTTCGAGCGACGCCAAGATGCAAGGGCATCCAGACATGCATTCGCCGCTGAATAGTTCGCTTGCCCAAAGT